TTTTATCTTTTTTTTCTCGCTGCCTGTAGATAATAATGAATGTTTTAGTCACAGATGACACGGGTGCAACTTTATCAGTTCACAACAAAGTCATTAGTAATAACCAAAGGAATTCTTTTTTTATTAAAGTTTTTTTTACGCTTCTTATTCAAGTTAAGAATGATTCTCTTATCCATAAAACCTATATATTAAGGGCTACTTACGTACGGGATAGCTAATGTCCAGCAGTGCTATTCGATATGATTGGAAATTAAAATGCGAATTTTAAATAAATTTCAAAATACACGCCGTGGAATTCACGTTGAAAACTGACTTTGTTTTTACAGAAAAGCACTGCTGATACCGGTTAAAACATGAAAATCTTTTTCGAAAATATGTAGTATGTACTGCAAGCGGGCTAAAGCTGAAACATTCTGCAATAAATTACTAAACCATTGATAAATACTAGAGTTGGGCCGACTAGCCGCCGACTAGTGGGAAAGACGACTATTCGGCATCGTTTATAGTCGGTAAATAGTCGGCGACTATCTGGCAAAACATGCTGATTATAATCGGCACATTACAATGAAATAAAAACTCAAAACTTATGCTTGTTTTAACAGTACTTAGAGTATATAAAATATTAAAAGAAAATAAGGTAACATTATAAGAATTAGGAACTAAAGAATCTGACAGTAATTCAGAACACAATGAATATCGCACATAATAAAAGAGCAATGGGAAGTAAGTACGCTTTAATTGAGTAAAACTTAAGTGCTAGCGAGTCTTAAAGAAGCCCATAGGTATTTTTTTTTCTTTGAGACAAATTGGAACGTGAATATTTCGGCTCAATTTGGGAAACTCGTGTCGTGCGTGAGCAAGCCGAAATATTCCGAACACCTTCCTAAGATAGGTATTAGAATAATCGGCATTGCAAAATAGTCGGCAATTCGGTTAGTCGGCAAATACTATAGTCGGCCCATCTCTAATAAATACTAAATATTTTTCTAAGATGTAGGTAGGTACGTTAGAATTTTATATAGTTACAGGAATTGTCGTAAGATATCACAATAGGACGTCTCGTCCAATTTGTTTAGTTTCTTGTCCTTTCTTTCACATCCTTGTTGAGTACAATAACAGCAATGTTACGTTTTGATTTACCATGGTCAATATATTATTAATCCATGGAGGATTTAAGGTAAAGCAAACATTGAGTGTTGCTAAATGATGTTGATTGCAACATCATCATTATTCAACCATGTGAATGTCGGCCACTGCTGAGCATGGGCTTTCTCCAAAGATCTCCTCTCTAGTCGGTCCTGAACCTGGGCTGTCGAAATCCAGCGGCTTCCCGCAACCTTTAATAGATCGTCGGTACATCTAATAGCTGCCCTGCCTGCTAAACGAAGTCCGGCACGTTGGTCGCTACTTGTGCACCTTTCCGCCCCAACAGCCTTCAGGTTCTCCTCGCTATGTGTCTTGTGTTCTGCCCACTGCCATTTCAGCATTCGATGTGATGATGAGCTATGTCGGTCATTATTTGTTAATGTTAGAATAAACGACATATAAATTAAGTTTCTGAACATACTTGTATGTCTATAGTCATAATTATAATCTGCACTGTGGCAACACTTTTTCCTTTTACAAAATCCGTTCATGGCTGACATTGTGTGTGCTCAATAAACCTTTTTCAATATAGAAGACCAATCTCGTATCTTTTTCACCCTCACGCTTCCTCGACAATCACCATCATTATAGTCCTCCTGTGGATTTCATCATTTCTGATTCTATCTCGCTGGAAAATGAGAGGAAACGCTATTTTTTGTTCGCTGTACTATCTTGAGCCTTCTTATGAGACCCATTTTAGTTAACGACCACGATTTTCTTCCGTAGATCATCACTCACAACACAACACACACTGGTCCACATCTTCCGATCTGACTACGACCAGAATTCTCTTTTTCAAAGTTTGACTTACCTAACTGCACTGACTGTCTATAAAAATAATGGTCAACAACTTCGAGTATAGTGTTCCTATAAAATTGAAGAATCAAATTCTTAAATGAAATGTTTTTAAACTTTGATCAGTATTAATTTGAAAGTGGTCTTGAGCGGACTCTGATGCTTTTTGGGGAAGCTTGGTTCACTCCCCCGAATCGGCTACTGTTACTGTCTTGTCCTGTCTAAAATGTATTACAATAAACCTTTAAATATCAAATTAACTTATTCATAGAACTTTGATATATTGTGACTTCACAATTTATTATACTCAATATATTAATTCATAATCTTAGCGTGTATACCTACTATCCGCCATTTTCAGTATTTCGCGCCATCAAATCGGGCTATTGTTGCCAGATGGTCTGGATTCTTCCGATATTTTACGTAATCTCCAGACTATCAAAAAAACAACGAAATCTGCCCATAAACGAACATGATGCACATTTCGTTTACCCGGTACCCTGTCCGGGACGTCCGGCTATGGGGGAAGAGGATGGGTTTAATACTCCCTACAACAATCCCAAAACTCCGTCATTTTTATATGTTTTCCAAATATTCTGACTTGTCTATCCGGCAACCCTAAATCGGGCTCTCGGCAGACATACACGGGTATACCCGGGTAGAGTTACACAGGTGGCTGTAATTACCGCCTTTGAGAGCCAAACCCGGTCTCCAGCTAATCACAGCTTTGTACCGTAACAGAGACTGCCGTGCGTTCAGGGGTAATGTTACAAATTATATAAACTTGTTAGTCTAATTATAAGACCAGTAGGTACTTAGGTAGGTACCTTGCTTTGTTAGATCCTAACGCCCAAGATAGCGAAGTTATTTATATCACCAGACTCAAAAATCGAGGTTTTCAAAGCACATTATGCATTCTTTTAAATGACATAGTATTTTAGGGTTTTCAAAGCAAAAGTGTAACAAATGAAAATGGGACCCTATATAACAAAACAAACTCGTTATATTCATTATTTTAAATAGCAGTTCTTTTTAAGGTTCCTTACCCTAAGGTCACTCTGTCGTCTAACTGTCTGTCTATCCGTGTGTCACGGGTCTCTAAATCATAAACGGAATGCGTTACAGAACTGAAGCTTTGCTATTTGATGTAGAATGTTAGCTCAAAGCCGAATAATAAATTAAACAATCAATAAAATTATGGGGTCCCATACATGAAAAGGAGACTTTTTGAAGTGAAAACTTACTTCTTTAGCGGCGTTGTACACTTTTTTGTAATGGGTAAAAACTGTTAAACTCGCGTCAGGACACGTGGTCTGATCGCGTCCGGACACGTGACTTAATCGAAAATTCGTAAGACGAAATTAATAAATTTGAAAACGTTGTTGACTTTCAATATATCTGACGAAAAAAGTTATATTTTATGTTATCGTAGGTATAATAATAAGTCGTCGTAATTAGGACGTCCTGGTGGCAGCTTTATTGCGAAGAAAATGCATTTTTTTACAATAGACGTCGCTAGGTGCGCTTAAATATGATTCATGTAAGTTGATTTTTCTGAGAGATAAACTTTGTCATGTTTGTGTACGATAGCGCAATAAATAAATATTGTATTCTACCACATAAATGATAGTACTTTTATCCTGCTAATTAAAGCAATTCGTGTAAAATTATTCCCTAACAATTCCAAAATATCAAAAATTAACAACGTTAATATTCAAGTTTTCACTTCTGCCGGCACTCCCGGAGTGCAACCCGTCGTTTTTTTTTTCTTTTACCCCCGCATGTGACACATTATGGTCTAGAGCTTCTTGAGAAGGATATAAATATATTTTTTTATTAGTTTTATTTCCAAAAACAATAAAATAGTGGGCCGTCAAAGTTGTCATCCTAAACCATCTTCGTTACGGAGTCTTCCTCAAAATAGAAACTAGGTAAGATGTGTAATTTTGGTAGATACGTACACGGATATATATTATTATACCATATGCTTTAAATAACAAATAGGGAAAACGCCGATTCATAATGTACTTTGTAAGTTCTTCTTCTTCTTTTTTTATTGTACTTTGTAAGTTGTGACGAAAACAAACAAAATGATTTATTGCTTTCGTGTTTTGTTGGGATATAGACATCAAGGAAACGAACTAATATCATGAAGTCAGTGATATTAGGTAGGTACCAAGTCCTAATAACTCGCGCTTGGCCAGTTTCCTTTTTTACTTCTGAGGATTATGATAGGTAGGATTCACTATAGCACTCCTTTTTGTCAAAACGCCAGTCATAGAATAAGTAAGACGCGAACGCTTCGTAATATTAATGGATATTATTGGATCGAATTGCATCAGTCTGAGATGCCGAAAGTTCTACAATATAATACTCTTAAAAGAATGTATTATCAAAAAAACACTATGATTTTATGAAAGAATTCAGATTTGAACAAACTAGCGCCATCTATTGACAAATGTTATCATTATCTTGTGAGATACAACACTACTCCCTTTAACCAGATGTTCCTGCTCAAAAAATAATTCATCAATAAAATAATTTTCTCAAGAATATTTTAAAAGAAGTAACACAAATCCTATCGTTTATTTAACCAAAATGTATGTAATAAATTAATTAACCTAAAACGGAACTTGTTTTAAAAAAACCTTTGAGTATTATTAAACAAAAAGCAAAAGTTTCTGGCGGGATTTCATCGAGTGCAGTTGGCGTCATATATAAATTATTCTCTAATTCGTTCATAGTGGATATTGTCAAATATAAGGTGTGTTTTTGTCAACCGTCTGCATAACTGAAGAATTAGTGGAATCTTTAAAATATACGCTATTCGGATCAAGTGGACGTGAGAACTTTATTGTAGTGTTGCCTACCTCACAAAAGATTTTCGAGAAAGCTGACTCGTTACATTTCGTGCCAAACACTCCAAGAAACATTAGAATGCGTCACACCCACTTTCTAATGTCAAATAAAGAACAAAGAAAGCTGACGACTAGGCTGTGTGGGCCTTGTTCCCTTTACCTTCCCCAAAAAGGGAGGACATTAAAAAACAAAACAACAAATGTCATCCATCACTGTCAATGTCAAAAGTGGCTTTTGCTTTGCTTTCATTTCATTGGGCTCCGGTTGTTTTTATTTAAAAACAGCTGTCTGCGTTTGCAGTTTTTGTTCTAAATAAAAATGATTGGTGTACGCTTAAATACCTTCAATGATAGTTCAGGAGAACCTGAACAAGATGCTAATTCGGCACTTACGGAACTTGATAAAGGTATACCAACATAACCTGTTCACCGCAAACAAATTAGTTACAATTAATAAAACAGGTATTTATCATTAAAGAACAATCTTTTCAGGTTTGCGATCTGGTAAAGTGGGCGAACAATGCGAAGCCATAGTGCGTTTCCCTCGGCTTTTCGAAAAATACCCCTTTCCCATTCTCATCAACTCTTCATTTCTAAAACTGGCCGATGTATTTCGAATGGGCAACAACTTCTTGCGCTTGTGGGTTTTACGTGTGTGTCAACAAAGTGAGAAGCATCTCGATAAAATATTGAATGTAGATGAGTTTTTGAGAAGAGTGTACAGTGTTTTACACTCTAATGATCCTGTGGCAAGAGCTCTAGCTCTACGAACGCTGGGCGCTGTCGCTGGTATTATTCCGGAGAGGCAGAACGTACATCACGCTATAAGAAGAGGTTTGGACAGCCATGATAATGTAGAAGTGGATGCTGCTATCTATGCCACAACAAGATTTGCTGCACATTCTAAGTAAGCAATTCTTTTTTGACATATGATGTGAAAATGATATCTACATGTTCCATCTTCCCATGTGTTTTTGTAAGCAGGGGCGTATTTACCCTAGAAACAAAGGCACCATGGCATGGGGTGGCTGACTGATGGGTAGCAGAAGCCATATAAAGGCATTTGGTACTGACCTATATTTTATTTACTAATTCTAGAAGGGGATTCAAATGTGCAAATTACGAATGGCCTGAGGGGGAGTAGGGCATATTTTAAAATTCACCCCTACTTGTAAGCTATTAGGGTGACCATTTACTGGCCTCTGAACACTGATTTCTTCCAAGATGGACTGGCATAGTCATTTCTTTAAAAAAGATATTCTTGTGATACTATATAATCCAATTTGTATAGACATTCTAGTCAGACATGGAAAATCTTTAAATTAAGTACCTTACCTTTTCAGTACCTTTGCTGTGGCTATGTGTAACAAGTTATCAGACATGGTGGAATGTGAAAGCACTGGAGCAGAAAGAAGGGCGAAGCTTGTAAGAGCTCTGAGAAGTGTGCATGGAGGAGGTAAGTTCTGATTCAATGGCAGTTATGATATGATACTATTACTGGCCACTGAATATAAAACACAAATAAGAATCATCATATTATTTGAAATTTTCTTTATGTTACCTACCTATTACATTAAATGATTACCTTTTGATGTTATAGTTGTCTTGAACATTGTAAGCATTAGTGATGTAACGAATATTCGCATATTTTTGAATATTCACATTCGCATTCGCAAAGTCTCTGCGAATGTTTTGCGAATATGAATATTAGAAAAAAACAATTTGAAGAAGTTGTAGTTCTGCCTTTCCTTGAATATTCATTGTTACACAGTTTGCATTTAGCTCGTTCAGCATCGCAAAGTGTGAAATAAGTCCAAGTTTCACTAGAATTCAATTTACTCATGTTAATAAATCACTATTACCACTCACAATCACTAACCTCAAAATTCACTTGTTTTGTTTACGTAAAGACCGGTACGAGCGGAATGAACTGGAACTTCAGTCGGATGACGTCATATCAACTCGGCAATTCGAACGAGACTGCCACCATGCCATAGACAATTGGCGCCAATTTAAAAAAAACTAAATATTCGCATTCGCATTCGCGAATGTCGGTACCAGACATTCGCATCCGCATTCGCATTTGCGAATGTTCAAAAATGACATTCGTTACATCACTAGTAAGCATACAGTATTTTTAGGACATGTACTAATGCTATTTGTTATGTACCACTGTAAACAGGGTGGAGTACTGGTCTTCTGACTTACAGGCTGTGATCTAGTTCAGATACCTGCCTCCCACAATTTTGTGTTAACGAAATTAATTTGATAAGTTTGTATAGTCTGTTTCAAACAAATTTAGACCACAAGTTTTTTTCTGCATAAAATTGTGTGGAGAAGAAATAAAGCAGTATTATTATTATTGAACAGATATACAGCATTTATGTTACATTTATTTTAATTTTTTCTTGATGTTTTGGACCCTTTATACTCCATGATCAAGTTAAATTTCTTATGAATTCTTATTAAATAATAAAAAAAGGACTGATACTTGTTCAAAAAGAAATAAATTGATTTCTAATGTTTTAGCTGTCCGTGCTCAAGGGGTACTGAAGCTACTGAGGTCATTATTAGAGAGGTTCCCATCATCAAGCTCTGTGCGAGCAGCCATCACTGCACTGACAGCAATAGCAGCTGATACTGTGGTGCATGTTCCAGACCAGGTCAGTAATTTTTTAGGGTTCCGTCCCTCTTTCAAGACCCTTTTTCTCAGATACGTAGGTAGGTATTAAGCTGAAATTTATATCAAATCAGGTCAGGTCTTCTGTCGCTTGGAGCTGTGAAATGTCAAACTTCTAAGCCAACGCAATCAAAAGATACAGCCGTGTATGCTGCAAAACTCACAAGTGCATCAAAACCTACAGGGTACTTCCCATGGACACAGAAATTCGTCTTATAGCACAGATAAAAAAAAATATGTTACATCACATTTTTTTTTAAATTATTATATACCCACAGATATCTACGAAACTCTCGGTGCACGAGTCGGACTCGCACTTGGCCGGTATTTTATTATTGTAGTATATTAATATCTAGTATATTAATTGAAATGGCAGAATTATTTTTTTTTATTTGAAGAAGAAATCTCCGAGATAAGTTGTGTACTTACCTAGAGAAGATTCTTATAGGTTGCCCTAAAATAATTAACTATTGTTTCAGTAAAAATTACATTTCACAAAGATGTATGCTATGTTTTAGAAAAGAACTTACCAAACTCTTTAATTGGATCATTAAAGAATCAATTTCCCTGTAGCTAAATTATTAATGATAGATTTCAAAGTGTATATGCGAATTAAGCAATCCATAATGCTATAGAGACAAGTTAATTGCATTATATTTAGACAACTATTTACTATTGCTCAAATTATTGTCAGGTGGAACTTCTTCTAAGCATAGCTATGAATGACGCCCGATCAGCAGTTAGGAGAGCTGCACTAGTTGGTCTGAAGAAGTTAGCGGAGCATGCAGCGTTATGGCCAAACGAGTGCTTACAGAACCTGGTGCAAGCAGCCACTGATAGCCAAGACACTCAGCATACTATGCTGTGTTTGCAGGTTATGCAGGTAAGTGAATTATTTTTCGTTTTCCTCCATCTGTGGAATCACACTAATATTTTAAAGGCGAAAGTTTGCGAGTGTGTGAGTGTGTATGTTTGTTACTTCTTAACGTCTAATGGCTGGAGTGATTTTAATAAAATTTGGTATGGAGTTAGCTGACATCCTGGATTAACACATGGCTACATTTTACTGCGGGAAAATATGCCTAATAAACCGCGGATAACACTGCGGGGCACAGTTAGTTATAGATAACGCTGAGAATAATCTACCGACCCATACTAATATTATAAATGCGAAAGTGTGTCTGTCTATCTGTTACCTCTTTACGCTTAGTTTAAGGTGAACCGATTTAGATAAATGTTTTATAGAGATAGTTTGAGTCCTGGGAAAGGACATAGGAGAGTTTTTCTTCTGGATGATGGAAATTTGTATGAGAAACCAATTTTTCCCGCTAGTAGATTATATTCCACTTGTAAATATGACAACTAAAAGAAATACAAAATTAACTTCACATACAGAGAATAAGTCTGTTAGAGATTTCAGTATTTATTATTATTTATTTTATTTACTAATTTAGTACACACACAATAAAATAGATAAGAACTAGAACAAGAAATTTGTACGTTTCTGGTTTATATCTAACTATTGCAATTATCTGGACATGCTTCTCTAAACATTATTTACTTAATTTATTGTTTTTTTTTTTCTGCGCAGATTCTGGTAGAATGTCCCGCCATTTGCGCGGCTGCCGGGTCGCAGAGTAGCGCCTTGCGACAATACTGCGCCGACGCAGCACTCAGTATAGACCTCAATCAGGCTGCGACTGCGTGCGATGTGCTCACTCGAATCGTCGTTCATTGGTATTTGTGTAGTTCAATACATATTCGGACATAATATAGTTTAGGTCCGAGAACAGTACCTTGCGACAGTACTTTTTTGAAATTGCATTGTATTTTTTTAAGCATTAAACTGCTATATCCGAGCGAATGCATTAACCAAAACGGAAGGTGTAGGTTCGAAGCCTGTCTTATACCTAAACCAAGTGTATTGTTTCTAGTAAAATTTTCATTAGATTTGTAAACATTTTTGAAAATATAGTTTATTCAGGTCTCAGTGTAGCATCTTGTTACAGTGTTTCACTGCAAAAAATAGTTATTGTCAAATTCACAATTTCTTGCTATTTGTTTTTTAAACATTATGAAAAAGTGTAAAGTGTTGATTAATTATTGATACCTATATATTATTAAAAATGGAAGTAATTTAACATCAACAACAACAATTTGTTTTTATAATCATTTTGCAATCATTTGTTGTTGGCTTAATAATCTACCTTACTCTGTAGATTTTTATTTTGTTCACAATCCAAAAAGTAACTAAATTAAATAGACATGCATGTTTCCAGCTACGAAGAAAGTCTTCCCGTAGACGGTTCGGAGTTGATGCTCGCTCTGGAAGCTTTAGTTATAGCAACAAGTGTGGATGATGGTCCAACTAATATAAAACCGCTTCGCATCGCCCTAAGATGTTTGGTAAGTACAAAAGATTTACAGTTTAAGATGATTGATCGTCGTTCATTGGTATTTGTGTAGTTCAATACATTTTCGGACATAATATAGTTTAGGTCCGAGAACAGTACCTTGCGACAGTACTTTTTTTAAATTGCATTGAATTTTTTTAAGCATTATATTGAATATTTTATGCATTAAACTGTTTGACATTTATAAATGTACCTATAAAAAATAAATAAAAAAACCTTGCGAGACTACATACACGGCTTACGCCTTACCCTTCAGCTTCTTTATTGCCTTGGAATTCGAACCCAGGACTTCTGAGTAGGCGACACCTTATATAACTACATACCACTCCAATATAGCCGTCGTTGTCCGAATTGCAAGCTTAATTCCTGTGTGACTTAAAAAAAATAATTTGACGCGGACGTAGGCGCGGGCGCAAGCTAAATAAATTATCATTTAAATATTTGCCCTATCGAAATTCGAACCCGGGACCTCTGAGGAGGCACCACATCGAAAACTGTTGTATAATGCGATTCAAATAAAAATAGGAAAGCCAATGACCCTCATCTGTCAAATGTCGTTTGAAAAGTACGGCTTGCAAAAAAATCTTGGAACCCTTTTTTGGCACGCAGCTAATTATGTAATAAAAACCAAACATTTGTAAACAAACAATAATAAATATTGTTAATTAATATTGGTTGATATTTTATTTTCATTTATTGAGCTTTGGCTATGAATGTTTAATAACCTAAATCGTCAACCAAATGTCACTTTAAGTTGCGTTCAGAAACTCGATTTAAAACTTTGGTTTACATATAGAATGCATGTTCGTATGTGACCTAGTAATAGTGCATGATTATTCATAACTACTCCGGCGGTAATGCCGAGATGAGCGGAATTGAAGAGCTTAATTCTGATTATTGTTTTTTCTCGATCAATCTTAATAAATAAATATTATTAAAAATCGTTTATTTTCTTTTCTCAATTTTAGTAAATAGATTTTATTAAAAAATCGGATTTTTTTTCTCACTTAATCTTAGTAAATAACTTTTATTAAATAAAAACTCTTTTGCTCACTCTACCTTTTTCGTTTGAATTGACAGCTATGACGTCACAATATGGCGCCCCGTCGATCCTATTCTTAGTTGAATCGAATTATACATACCAGCATATCACTCTACCACGGTCGTCATAATTGGTAATGAAAACTCGCTCATAAAACTTGCATTGCCGTAAACATCACCGTTCATTAATTAGAAGAGCTCGATGGCGCGAGTGGTTAGCGCGTTCGGCTGCGATCGTTGAAGTTAAGCAACTTTCGCAGTGGTCACTTATTAGATGGGTGACCAAAAATCTTCTATCTCGAGTTCCTCCGTGCTTCGGAAGGCACGTTAAGCCGTTGGTCCCGGCTACATCAGTCGTTAGCAACCACCAATCCTCACTGAGCCCGCGTGGTTGGTCTGGTCATGGCCCAATCTCCCTATTCCATCCATAGGGTAGGCCTGTGCCCCAGCAATGGGGACAATAGGCTGATGATGATGATGATACATTACCGAAAAGTTTTCACTTTAGGTAAAGCTGTGTACAGCAGAGCCAGTGTTATATGCGGCTAGAACAGCTGGTGTATTGGGCGGGCAGCTTATGGAAGTGCCTTGGGGTAAAGGCCCCGCCCCTCGAATACTGTCGCTATTGGAAGCGATGGCGGCTTTGGGCGGCGGAACTTACTGCCCTGTAGCTATAGCCCCAGCCCTACCTGCTTTAGTGCGTGCCCTCAACGATGCCGCTATGTAAGTAAGAAAGAAAGACATTTATTGACCTTCGCAGCATCAGATTCTTCTTCTACTTGTCGGTAGATATTCTCCGCAACTCGACAGCAGATGCCTATTCTGCGTGAGTGGATGGCTTCAGTCCTGCCATAACTGTCAGCCAAGAAGCTCAGTAGTCTCTTGATGTCTTTACAGGCTTCGAGCACACAGCATGAGATGAAAAAATCTATAAGTTAAAGGACACAAAACAGAAAAAGGAAAGGACCATGTGGCATTTCAAAATCCTCCTCCTTACCTCAGTTTCTTCAATGCTGAGGGTCGACAGTCATCACCTTCTCGCAGTAAAAGTTTGTTGCGGATCACGACACCATCTGTTTCGATCTGCCATCCATTTTAGAGCATCGTGAACTTTCATATGTCGTGAAGCGGAACGAATCTGATCAGTCCCTAAGTGTCGGCCTTCTTCCGCGTGTTATATTCCCCTCATCAGTCATCATCACCTGGTGATTAATGTCAGAGTTTATGGAAGTGCCGTGGAATGAATACTGCAATTGTAAGTAAGATAGAAAGACATTTATTGACCTTCACAGCATGATATTCTTCTTCTACTTGTCGGTGGATATTCTCCGAATCTCCGCAACTCGACAGCAGGTGCCTATTCTGCGTGAGTGGATGGCTTCAGTTCTGCCATAACAGTTAGCCAAGAAGCTCAGTAGTCTCTTGATGTCTTTGCAGGCTTCGAACACGCAGCATGAGATAAAAAATCTATAGGTTAAAGAACACAATGGAGAAAAAAGAAAGGACAATGTAGCTTTTCATAGTCCTCCTCATCCTTCTTACCTCAGTTTCTTCAATGCTGAGGGTCGTCAGTCATCACCAAGTCCTCGCATTAAAAGTTTGTTGCAGATCACTCGAAGCCATCTGTTTTATATATATATTTGATGAAAAAAGAAGTCATTCGAGGAACTAAATGAGGTGCTCAATATAGGTATATTAAATACTTTAAGCATTCAACTTTCATCCTCTTAGATTATTTAAATGAATAGATGGCTCCATGAGGTCACGCTCTTCCTGTTAACTCCAAATCGAAACTAATCTTCTTAATGTTTGTCAAAAATAAAGAACTGCAGATTGCAGACGTCAAAAGAATTATATTTGTGTCCAATTTCACACCATCAATAGGGATGATGACGGGGTACAGTAAACGAAATTCTATTTAGTCCGTCAGTTAGATGATCAAAAAATAATGGACACGTATTTTTTCTTTGGGCAATCAACCAAAAAATGACAAAATTATAGCGCGTCAAAGTTTGGGAGTAGGGGCTCGTGACGTCACTTTTGAGTGAATTTTCACTTATAAGTGTACTCAAACGTGACGTCAAGCGACTTTTCAAATCAATATATCTCTGCAATGTTTATATTATGTGAAAAAAGAAAAAATACGTGTCCAATACTTTTTGATAATCTACCTGATAAACGAAGAAAAAAAAATAGTCATCATCCCTATTGTTTCACCATTGCATCCTCAGCAATGTATTTTCTTATTCCCCATAGAGACACTTCTGATGGGGATGGAACAGCTTTAGTTCTGCTATGCACAGTTCTATTCCAAGAACGTGCCGGCACTGCCCTGAACTGCAAGATTAATAACGCTTGGGAGAAGAAAATCATGGATACAATCCGAGGAGTGGACGGATGGACGCGTTACAGAGTTGCTAGGGCTGCTTTGAGGTAAGGAATGCTAACTCCAAACTTCGATCGTCTAGAAATCCTGATAAAAACACTTTTACAATACTCTCAATTTCTATTTATTTATTTATTTTGGTTACATGGAAGACCAACAGCTTATCTTAATATACTAGAAATGAATAGTAGCGACAAAGAGCCAATTGCAGGTCCTCACATCTAAACATAACTTACAGTTATAAAGAAACTATTTGCACTGTCCAATGTAAAAAATCTCATAAATATAGTTTTATAAATGAGGTACTTATGATAAATAACAGAATGACAAATTACGTACATGTTAAGTACATACACTTGTCTATGGAATTAAAATCTCGAATAACTGTTTATTATTATCTCTTATCTAATAGACAAGTCCGTCCGTCCGTGGTGCTGTTTCAGCGGCCAAACCGTAAGAGATAGATAAAGAGAATGTTTAAGTTATAAGTTAAGAATAGTCTGATAAGACTACAAACCGGATTTGAGTAACGTAGTACTTCCGGTTTTCTATTTCAAACGAAACCACACAAAATCTCCGAAGTTCCCAATTAATTAAATACATTTTTTGAACATTTGGTTCACTGGTTTGCTAGTTATTATATATTAGTTATAATCTCCAAAAAACAAACGAGCAATGATACGTCTAATCGTATTACATCTTTATATCCAACGCCGAACGTCCATTATAATTAAGTGCAGTGCATAAGCAATTTTAATTTTCCCTAAAAACTGATGTAACTTATGTTATTACGTCATTCTTCGATCAACAATTCTATAGATAACGGATCAGCGCGTAAAGTCCGTCTCGGTTAATATAGCTTCACTTGAGAAGTGAGACCTTATTTTAAATTAGTTCGGCTAATACAAAACAAAATAACTCGCTGGCCAATGACTGGTAAAAATGTTTTCTTTTGTGTGTCATAAGGTTGATTTCAAATTTTACTTTTTTCACACATCGTTTTTTTCTAAGTATCAGATATAATTTATAAAAGTAACAAGAGTTCGTTTATAAGATAAAAGGTCGTATGTGCCAAATAAAATTTTGTTATTCCTTTGTTGTTATCAGGTTCAACTTAAACTGTTTTAAAACATTTATCTTTGTTCATTGGGAATCAAATGTAGCGGCGAGGCGAACTGGAGTTGAGTGGGGGATATAAGCAAGAGAGAGCAGTGCGCGCGCACATTTTCTTTTTCTCTTTCTCTTATAGCTATTAAATGAAATATGTATATGTACATACATATGTATATTTATGTATGGAGTAAAAAAAGTTACACTTCAGTCGTGTGGTCATAAGCATACTCGTTTTTTGTTAAAGATATGTACATCCAAATATTTCGTAACCACCCATTTCAAACTGCTTTGCTCCTGTGACCAATCCTACTTACTAAGCAGACAGGATTCCATTAGTTTTCCCCTCCTACAGATACGGTCACCACAGTCTCGCAGCAGATATTTTGAAGCGGTTATCAGAAGAAGCTCCCAGTGAATCGGCCCAAAGATGGCTGACGGCTTTACATCGAGCAGCGAGCGCCGATGCCACGCTTATCAAAGAAGGTCAGTCCATTAAGCTATTTACTACTTAACCATTGAGCTCTTACAATATCAATGTCTTTGTTTTTGAACTCAATTAACTATATAGAATAGAATATATTTTATTAACCCTCATATTACAGATATTACACATTTACACATACAAATTCAAAAAACACAGGGCTAACCAGGACTCTGCCTTAGCATTAGCTGATGCGACATTGTGTCGCACCAGCGCTGTTATTCTGGCAGAGCCAGCATGTTAAATGTCGATTGTGTGATTTTACAATGTTCCACCTAATGCTGGCTATAAACAAGAAGGCAACATAATATTTTAGTAAATGTAGCCTAACAATGAAGCAAAATATTGCAAAGTTCGCTTTAATACATCAAAAAGAGTACGGGGCTGAGAATAGTTCCCTGTGACGCTTCAATGTATCATGTTTGACACTCTAGTATAAAATGTATTTCCATTAAATTAGTTTAATGCTTGCCTATTTTTACACATTGAATTCGTCTAGACAACCAAATGGAAATTTAAATTATATTCAACTTTCCGCATAATCACCGTGTCAAATGCTTTAGCAATATCTTGTTTTTGTAATAAAATATTAGTATCTTGACTCACATTTAATGCTGCCTCATACATGACACTATGACTGTAGGTATATCCGGGCTGGAGGTCGCCAGCGCTGGCTGGGAGGCGGGTGCGGGTTGCGGGTGGGGCGCGGGGTGCGGGTGGGGCGCGGGGTGCGCGGCGGGGTGCGCGGGGTGCGGGGGGTGCGCGCCCCTCCCGCCCGCGGCCATGCACGCGCTATCTGCCTCATACATGACACTATGACTGTAGGTATATCTGGGCTGGAGGTCGCCAGCGCTGGCTGGGAGGCGGGTGCGGGTTGCGGGTGGGGCGCGGGGTGCGGGTGGGGCGCGGGGTGCGCGGCGGGGTGCGCGGGGTGCGGGGGGTGCGCGCCCCTCCCGCCCGCGGCCATGCACGCGCTATCTGCCTCATACATGACACTATGACTGTAGGTATATCTGGGCTGGAGGTCGCCAGCGCTGGCTGGGAGGCGGGTGCGGGTTGCGGGTGGGGCGCGGGGTGCGGGTGGGGCGCGGGGTGCGCGGCGGGGTGCGCGGGGTGCGGGGGGTGCGCGCCCCTCCCGCCCGCGGCCATGCACGCGCTATCTGCCTCATACATGACACTATGACTGTAGGTATATCTGGGCTGGAGGTCGCCAGCGCTGGCTGGGAGGCGGGTGCGGGTTGCGGGTGGGGCGCGGGGTGCGGGTGGGGCGCGGGGTGCGCGGCGGGGTGCGCGGGGTGCGGGGGGTGCGCGCCCCTCCCGCCCGCGGCCATGCACGCGCTATCTGCCTCATACATGACACTATGACTGTAGGTATATCCGGGCTGGAGGTCGCCAGCGCTGGCTGGGAGGCGGGTGCGGGTTGCGGGTGGGGCGCGGGGTGCGGGTGGGGCGCGGGGTGCGCGGCGGGGTGCGCGGGGTGCGGGGGGTGCGCGCCCCTCCCGCCCGCGGCCATGCACGCGCTATCTGCCTCATACATGACACTATGACTGTAGGTATATCCGGGCTGGAGGTCGCCAGCGCTGGCTGGGAGGCGGGTGCGGGTTGCGGGTGGGGCGCGGGGTGCGGGTGGGGCGCGGGGTGCGCGGCGGGGTGCGCGGGGTGCGGGGGGTGCGCGCCCCTCCCGCCCGCGGCCATGCACGCGCGCGCCGCCGCGCTATCTGCGCTAGCAAGGACCGCGGTGGCAGCGAGGGCGCTCTGTACGCAGCCGCCGCCGGCGATAGCACATGCGCATGCGCAGGTGAGTGAATATGTACCTAAATAGACATTTCTTACTGGACAATCCCTGGGGTAGTTTAAGGTGGATTCAAGGCTTTATTTATTAATAAAACAAAATATCTTTTGAACAGGCCGGTATTTTGGATAACTAATGTTGCAACAAGTTTTCTGGTATACGAGGCGTCCCACAGATTTATCACTTGTTTTTTTTTTTAATTATATGTGTTTGATTCCCTGTTGTAGCAGGCGATTTTTAAAAATCAGCCAATACAGTTCTAGTTCTTATTAAAAATAAAATGGTGTCTTCTTTCAGTAAAATATCCTATTTTTAATATTTAATATACTTTCCCTCCGTGTGACAAAACCATGGGACGCCCTGTATACGTATTACAAGTTTATTTAACACAGAGATCTATCAGACACAGAGCGCCAACTAATATGCATGGAAGAGCTTTAAATATACTTATATTTTTATTTATTTTTAAGCATTTAACTGCTAGATGTTTAAATCAAAGGAGAGTTTACTTCAAAAAAATCCACGCGGACTAGGCAGCGGACGGGACTCGAACCCGCATCCTTCGCAATCCGGACGAATGCACTGACCATTATGCTACCACGGCCCTATTCGCCGCGTCGAAATTTTCCTAGCCATCTCTTCGCATTGTAGGTAACCCACAATAAACAAGCTTTAAATATATTTTTTTGCCGCTAATTTGATGAACATTATCTTAACTTCCACAATGGCTATCTTGATATTACTCTTCTTCTTCTTCTTTGCCGATTCACTCTTGACAGAGCGGTCGTGGTCATTAGGTAGCGGTCAGGTTCCGGGCAGCCATAATCCTCTTCACGATGCGACGCCATCCTTCCTTGTCGGTTGTGCTACGCGTGGACTCGTGCAAGGGGCCGCCTATTGCCGATTTGATCTGGTCGGTCCAGCGCATGAGCGACCTGCCACGTGCCCTCGTGCCTTCGACCTTCCCCTGTACTACAAGACGCTCTATGGACGTGTTGTCCCGTCGTGAAACGTGCCCGAAGAACTGTAGTATTCGAGTCTGGACTACGTTTGTTAGACGCTGTTTGACACTGAGTTCTTGGAGAATAGATGCATTGGTGCGAAACTCTGTCCACTTCACTCCAATGAATTCTTCTCCAGCACCACATCTCTAGTGCATCTATTTTCTTTTTCTCAATTTCTCTCAGCGTCCACGTCTCGGCAGCGTACAGAAAAATGGGGAATATTAATACCCGGACAAGTCGCGTTTTTGTGGCTTTGGTAAGATTGCGATTCTTCCAGACTTTTTTCAGCTTATCCATAGCAGACCTAGTAATAGCCATTCGTCGCTTAATTTCGTCCACGCAGCAGAGTGGTTTGAGATCAGCGCTCCTAGGTAGACGTATGACTGTACTTGATATTACACTTATTTTTTATTGACTTTATTATTGACTTGATATTACACTGTTCCCTTTTTTCTAATTGTTATACTTCAGGCGGCCCGCGACCCCGCCGCCAAGGCAGGCGCGTGCGCAAACGCGATCCGTAAAGCTGCGCGCGCCGTCACCGCGGTCTCTCAGCGGTACGCCGCCATTGCTCGCACCGCCTTCCACGCCGACGACTCCACGCTCAGACACCTGCATATGTATCCTTTTTAAAGTAAAACCATATAATAAAAAAAAAAATGGAAAATCCAAAAGTGCACCATTCACATTCACGACACAGAAACCCAGTAAATAAATTTCATTGAATTTCATTAATATCTTTATTAATGAAATTCATCTTTGAAACTCGACACCGTGTGCTTATTTTGCGTGGGGGTTTGTATCAATCCTGCCATTGCAGCTCCTCCGGAAATCTTAGCAGTTCCCGTATGTTGCTGCATACCTCTACTAGTGTCCGTGGATTTCCCAATAGAGAAGTCTTTTCGAACGCTTCTGCATTCCAGCAGAACATGGGCGCTCGTCTCCTCCTCCACCAGGCAGGCTCAGCACCGAAGGCTGTCAGAAATACCAATATTACAAAGAAGTTTGATGAAGTAGCCGTGACGCGTGGGTATATCCACGATTTGTTTCAGGGCTGGTCTAGGTAGTCTGATTAACTTACGTGATAGCTGCAGGTTTACCTTAGGAACGGCTGCCCTAGCTTGCCTGCAGTCCGTGAGTTTTGCCAAGTATTCGTCGTGTTGTCGTTGACAGCGCTCCCTCTTTCTGGTTCTCAGCTATCGATAGGGTATGGTTACAATTGACTCCGGGCCAATGGCCGTCCTGCTGGACCCTTTCCTAGCTCAAATAATAATACTTATTAATATGCATCCACTTTCAAACCTACAACTACAAAAGGTGGTCATACTTAATACTTTTACAATTGTCTGCAAAATGTCCAACAATGGAGAATAAATTTACACACAGGGTATGCTTGGTCTTAGATCCGCTCAACATCTACCTCATAAGTGAGAGAAAATTTGGGTACATAAATATAATAATAATAAATAATTTCGACACACAAATTATCCTAGCCCCAAAGTAATCACTAAAAGGCTTGTGTTATGGGATACTAGAGTAACGGATAGAATACATATACACACATCAAAAAAGTCAAACAACACGTAACATTTACAGAAACTGTGCGTTCTATATTTTTCTTAGCATAGTAAATTTGCTGTATAATATTTTTTTGCTCTCGGAACATAATTGACTGATTTAAATAAAAAGACACTATCATTCAAAAAGTTCAAAACCGTACAAATGTTGCTTAGGCTTTTTTCATGATTATATAAGTATATTTTATCTAGAAATACATATAAACATTAATGACTTATGTACAAATTCTCGTATTCATCATACTAAAATTAGCCCCACCGGTATTGGAACCCTCACAGATCTCGAGTAACAACCGACACCTTGAAACCTGGTGTACATGCCACAGAGTTCGTCTAACTTACTATTACATCGCCACAAATTATTTCGTGCACCTTTAGCAAAGTCGCATTAAAATTTTGTTATAAAAAAAACAGACCTTATCAACAAGCATCGGTGGGGTAGGGGTAGAAAGCTCGTCTGCTACGCGAGTGAACCGGGTTCGAATCCCCTCCTAGGAAGGACTTTTTAGTGGTTGTTTATAAAAGTTTCACTTGCATCTGGTTTCATTTTATTTATTTATTCTTATGGCATTGTCTTGTCACAGGAATCAAGAGTTTAAAATCTAAATGTCTTAGCCAATTGGCAGCATCGTTATCGAGGGAGACCAGGTCCTCCATCGCACCATCGTATTTGGTAAGGGGTCTGGTTTCATAAAACCACACCAATGTTTTTCTCCAGTTTCACAATTTTACTGGTGTTGGTTTGGGTCCCTTGCATTTCTCTACCATATTTCTAAGAATTCGTCAAAAATTTTAAGATTGCACCTAGCGATGGGAATTCGCGTCAAAGATGAAACTCCAGAGAGTTCCTTCTACATATCACTTTGGCTTTAAGGCGGGCCATAATTATGTTTTTATTATAGACTATACTGTTCTTTATTTACTATGTGTTATTATAGACTATGTTTTTATTTTATTATTTCATGTCGATGTCGCTTTTTTATATCGTGTTACAGTGGTCATGCTATGAGGGTTCTTGAGAGAGCACTTTCTGTACTTACTACAATTTAGAATTTCCATTGTAGGAAGGCCAAAGTGGAAGATCTTTCTCCGAGCTGGGTGATGGCAGCTCGGGGGCCGCGGCCCGACTGATGTTGGTCGGGCATTGTATATATGGAGTATTAGCATCCGAATTTCACTTGCGCGATGTAGGCTTCCATACGTATTGATCGTAGTGTCGGTAGCGCCATCTCTTGGGGAGGCGAATGATCATTTCCTCCATCCGCTAGATATATGTGTGGCATATAGATGTTGCCGCCACAAACGCTGTAAACTTTGGTATATTGGTAATAAATAAATTGATTTTCTTTTTTTGAAAATATTTCAATTAAAAAAAACATATAGGTATTGCGTCATTATAAAATGTCAACATAATCATACGCAAAACGAACAGCTTAACTCGTAAACCAGTGCTCAACACACGTACGCCCAGCTAGCCCATTTCCTGGACCGCATCACATCCACCCAGGAGAGGCCTTCGGAACTGCCCACCGTCGAGATCAAACCCAAGACCCTGGAGGAGATGATCGCATTGGCACCAAGCCATGCACTCGCCAACATATCCGCCAAACTATTCGACAGTACTACCGGACAAGGCATCACGCATAGGGTAAGTCGTAAAACTACACAGAAAACTATATGACATCCAACGGTATTAAATACGCTAGATACACCCACGTGGGATCAAAATGAGTCCCAATCAGGAAGTGCTTGAACAGCACTGAAGCACTTCTTGGTTCACAGTCACTCGCGGACCGTAGAAAAGTCAAGATGCCGCAGGGCTCCGTGAAAAAATGCGAAAAAAAATCTTTTAGTACGTAAAGTGTCGTTTTTTCGACAGGTATCTAATCAATGTTTGTTAATTTAACGCATTTGAAACAAATTTTGTTCTAATACTTACTATGACTGAACACTTACTGTGTTATTCAAATGCATGGTCGGTAATATACGGACCTAAAACTGACCCAGGAAACTATCGGCCTAAAATGATATACAGGTGTTTAATGCACTACCTAGACTCAATAAACTTTATATCAAAACGCCAGTGTGGCTTCAGGCCTAAAAGCAATATTACAGCAGCAACACTTGACTTAATAACAAAAATAAAAAACAATATAGATTAAAATGAAGATCGTGTGGGGGGTATTTATAGACTTGAAAAAAACCTTTGAGACTGTTTGCCATGAACTACTTTTAGACAAGTTAGAAAGCATCGGTATCAGGGGCAAAGTTTTCAAATTATTTAAATCCTATCTAACAAATAGATTTTAAGTTTTAAAAATTAATAATTCTAAAAGTCAACCTTTTTCCATAACATATGGTGTCCCTCAGGAATCCATACTTGGACCACTTCTATTCTTAATCTATATAAATAATATGACACTTCTGGGATTTCATGGTCATATACCTTACTACGAAATAAAATAGGCCTCGCGAACTTGATGTCGCCGACGTCCACATGTAGCCTAGCGCCGCCACTGTCTATTAATACAGTATATCACTGAAATCATACCATATCTACATACAAATGGCGGCAAGAAGTGTCGCCGCACACGGGCTACCGACCACAACCACAAAACGCCGGCATATTTCTTGTAATTTTCATACATATTATAGCACTCGCCACACACGGTACGCCGGTGGCCGCCGCACGCTACAAATCGTCGTTGCTCGCTTCTTGTGGCCCGCACCGGCCACTTAATGCGCCGATACAAAACGCCGCCACACGTCACTCGCCCACCCCTCTCTCCCTTACCTCAGTCGGCCGCTGTCGCGCGCTTCAGCCACTTTAGTAGCCGCTTCTAGCTTCTCGTGGCGGCGTTTGTGGCTGTGGCGGGTGGCCCGTGTGCGGCGACACTAAAACGATAGCATGTTATAAAAAAAACTGTCTGAACATGCGTGGTATTACGGAGCTTATTTACACGGTGTTATCAAATAAGCACAAGAATATTTAAAAATCTTGTTCGAATGGTTTTAATATAATCAGTTAACCGTTAATATCTCTGAAACATGCTATATTATTATTAAAGCAAAAAAAAAATTAATTTCGCCACACGATCCACTTACAATAAATAACAATCTTGGCTTGAGAATGGTTGCCTAACACGGTGTAAACAAATTGACTATATTAAAAATAAACTCTCTACAGATACACAGAATGTCTGATTGATGATTTCCTGTGTCAAAAATAAAAACTAGTCGAACACCATTGAATTGGTACAAGACTATAAATTTAGCAGAATCGACAGCCTGGTCGTATGGACTGAATAGTTGTTTTCTAAAAAGATATCATTGTACCCATATAGCACGCGGAAGCGATCCTAGCGGCCGTGCGCGCGTGCAGCGGGGGCGCTACTTGGTCGCGGGGGGTCTGCGCGGGGCGGGCGGGGGGCGCCCTGTGCCGCGTGTCATTGACCCCGGCCTGGAGGGCCCCGCCTGCGGACCACGCGGCCACGTTACCGCTGTCTCACAGGCTGGCGCTCAAGCTGGAGGGCGTGGTGCTGCCGGCCGTGCCTCTGAGGTGAGCAGCTACAGGGGTAGGGGGCTGTGCCGCGGGTCATTGACCCCGGCCTGGAGGGCCCCGCCTGCGGACCACGCGGCCACGTTACCGCTGTCTCACAGGCTGGCGCTCAAGCTGGAGGGCGTGGTGCTGCCGGCCGTGCCTCTGAGGTGAGCAGCTACAGGGGTAGGGGGCTGTGCCGCGGGTCATTGACCCCGGCCTGGAGGGCCCCGCCTGCGGACCACGCGGCCACGTTACCGCTGTCTCACAGGCTGGCGCTCAAGCTGGAGGGCGTGGTGCTGCCGGCCGTGCCTCTGAGGTGAGCAGCTACAGGGGTAGGGGGCTGTGCCGCGGGTCATTGACCCCGGCCTGGAGGGCCCCGCCTGCGGACCACGCGGCCACGTTACCGCTGTCTCACAGGCTGGCGCTCAAGCTGGAGGGCGTGGTGCTGCCGGCCGTGCCTCTGAGGTGAGCAGCTACAGGGGTAGGGGGCTGTGCCGCGGGTCATTGACCCCGGCCTGGAGTGTAAGCCGGTAAAGTCGGTTCGGCAGTATTTGTCAAACAATAATGCCGACCCGTAGTAAATACTGCCGAACATTCATCAACAATATGTATGATTAATGCCTGCCCGATATGTGTGTAGGTACCCTCAGCCTTTTTTAAGTATAACTTTCGATGATTTTTAAGGCAATTTGTAACAAGGTACAAAATTGAGCAAAAATCTAAGGTCTCATTTCATCCTCAAAAATCAACTACTTTTTGGCCAATGCATTAGTAATTTTACGGCTTTCTTATTAAACATAGAATACATTGTTCATGAATTCTAAGGCCTGTAGTATAGAAAGATTCTCAGTGATTGATCTAGTCTTGAGCATAGTTAGAAAGGGATGTCGCTATATATAGCACATAACGACATCCCTTTCTAACTGTACTCGAGTAAAGATCAACGCTTGGTTTTCATTTTGTAGTACGAGTTTAAAATCACTAGGTTATAACTGATAATATTTGCAGTAAACGCCAACCGCAACGTCAAGTGAAGGGCGTCCAGATAACCGTGACTGCGACTCCGCATCCGCGCACCAATGAAAAGGTAAATTGACAAACATTTATCACTATAATTCTAATTTTTATATTTAAGCATGTAACTGATTCATGTTCAAATCTAAAAAAAAATAAAACTAGAAAAATAATGCGAAGAGATGGCGCTGCCTTGCAGCTTAAGAATGACTAGAGGAATTTCGACGCGGCCATCAGGACCGCGGTAGTATAATTGGTCAATGCATTCGCCCGGATAGCGAAGGGTGCGGGTTCGAGTCCCGTCTGCTGCGTGGTCTGAGTGGATTTTTTTCTAGTTATATTTTCTTTACATTTATCACTATTTTACGCCAGACTAAGAGACATCAAGGATTTTTTAAAGTGAAACTTCTTTACGCACGCTTGACTTGGGGGTAAGCTGGCGAATGCGTTACGCGTAACGAAAAGTATGTTCGGGCGAGGCGAACGGGAGTTGAGTGGGGGATATAAGAAAAAGCAGTGACCACACATTTACTTTCTCACTTTCTCTTATAGTTAGTAAATGAAATATGTATATATTGTACACACATTGTATATATACATACAGATGGAGCTAAAGAAGTTTCACTCGTTTTTTTTTAAGTAAAGTAAGAATAACAGAAATACAAACAAATAAATAAACAAAGTCCTTAGACAATACATAGCAAAAATAACGTTAAACCTTTGTTATAAATTCCTTGCAGACATACGTAGCAAAGATTATAAATATCTATTTTATATGGTGTCCATAAACACTGCTTACACTCAGCGTCAAAAAACCGCACCTTCGCAAAAATAACTTTCAAGTGTTATTATAACCATTCTTAGAGTCTGTACGGAAAGAGAATGGGATTTAGATTGGAGGGCGCTGTAGTGCTTTTCTACCTTATTTGTAAGGTTTTACCCTTTTTAGACATGATTAAATACAAAAACCGCAAGTAATCACAACAACAAACAAATCCGTATCAATACAAAACTTTGACGTTTGACAGATAGCTGAGTTAAATTGCTATATAAAAATCTTAATGTTAGTTCCGTTTTTCGCCACGTCCATTCTCTTTCCGCACAGACTTCTAACACACGCATTTTTACCCCCAACAATATTGGTTTCATTTGAGAGCCCCTTTAATAAACTTAAAAAAAAACCATTTCATTTCATTATGTTAGCTTAGCTTGATTGCCACACGCTTGAAAGTGATTTTCGCATATATGTGCTATTTTTGACGCAGAGTGTAATAGTAAATAACGTATAACCGTTTCCTTATTCTTGTCAGCGTATTTCCTTCAACACTATTTTGCCATAATATTTTTTAGCTTTTGGTGCAGCAACGTAACTCAATACAGGAATATTTTAGATATATTTTTATTTCTAAGCATTTAACTGCTAGATGTTAAAATTTTAAGAAAAACAACGCGCCAGGACTATACTCTGTTGCGGTTGAAGCGGCCTTCGTTGACATAATCTTTGTTTAAGAATTTCTACTAAAATACGTAGGGAAAATGAATATATTTGGAGTCCATAAACTTACTAATGATCTAATGATGAAATAACGTATAATCGTTCGCATAAACTTGTCAACGTCAATGTAGATCTAGCAACAACTCCATACAGGATCATCATCACCAGCCTATTAATGTCCCCACTGCCGGGGCATAGGCCTTCCCTATGGATGGAATAGGGACATTGGGCCATGATCCACCACGCGGGCCCAGAGCGGATTGATGGGTGCTAACGGCTGCAAATGCAGCCAGCCAACGGCTTAACGTGCCTTCCGAAGCACGGAGGAATTTGAGATAGAATATTTTTGGTCACCTATCCAATGACCGACCACTGCGAAAGTTGCTTAACTTCAACGATCGCAGCTGAACGCGCTAACCACCCGCGCCATCGATAATTTTTCTGAAAATCCTCGCCACTACTGGAAATTGCCCGTCAGCTCTGCGTATTTGTCTTTATTTTGTGCCGGACGAAATATTTCTTCTACGCTGGCGATCACCAAGTGCTCTGATGATTCGGAGCCACAACTTTTCTTTCCCATCAGTCTATAGTGCTTAAAACCCTGAAGGTATTTAACAAATAATAATAATCATTTATTTGCCAAAATATGGTTACAATAGTTGTTAGCTCTTTAGTTTCCAGCATATTTTGTTGAATGTCAACGTGCAAATATTATATATTATAGAAGATAATTAAATTAATGAGGTTCAGTGACGTTAAATTAAATAAAATCAATTTAAAGATAATACTTATACGCAATGTCACAAAAAAAATACTTATAATCTATTCATAATTAAAAAAGTCAGGAATAATTGCATCGATATTGAATTAAAGTGTCAGAAAATTACATATATTTATCATTTACATAATTTATACTATAAAATTAAATACACACGAATGTCAACCAAATATATATTAAGTAGGGTATTTTATCATTTAAAAAATCATTAATTGTATAGTACATTTTGTTAATTAAAAATGTAAATAATTCAGTCCTAAATTTGGTTAAATTCAGTTTTTTTTTATATTTAAGGGTAACTTATTAAATATGCGAATCGACATACAATATGCATTTTTAGAAAATATCATTAGTCTATGGATTGGAACACATAAGTCGTTCCCTTTCCTATCTCTATATTCAACATCTTTTTTTTACTTATATAAGTGAAAATACTTTTTAACAAACACTGCCATTTCAAGAATATATAAACATGGAACTGGCAGTATTCCAAGCAATTTGAATAAGGGCTTACACGAGTCCAAATAACCTGCACCACAAAGTGACCGCATACATTTTTTTTTTAATTTTAAAGACTTTAATTGCATCTACTGAATTTCCCCACAGTATTATACCATAACACAACACAGATGAAACATAACCATGGTTAAGCTGTTAATGCCGATTGTTGCGATGCTATCTCTCTTATCCTATTCAGAGCATATATAAATCTGTCAAGCTTATTGTAAATTCTGTTAAGTTTATTGTAAAGAAAGAGCCCAAAGAGATATATCTATTAAGTTTATTGTAAAGAAAGAGCCCAAAGAAAGGTAAAATTCTCTAAGAAAATACCGCCTTGCCAGACTATTCTGGCAATACTAATGCGGTATACATTTCCGGTTAGACGGTGGAACTGACGAATATACCGCCGGCACTGACTGCGGTACAAACGGTGACACCCGTACGAGACTTCTTCTCCGCGCAACAGTTGGTCAGCGTCAACGCACCGGGACTATATACTGTGGCCGTTGAAGCGGCCTTTGTTGACGAGAAGGGCGAACTGTGGAACACTGGGCCTAGGACGTCTATAGTTATCAAGGTAGGTCAAACTAGGTCATAAGGGTGTTCATTGATGTGTAACATCTTTCCTCTCGCTTTCCTGCAATTTGTGGGAGTTATTTCGTGAAATGGGACGGAAGTGTGTAACAGGAAGTCGCGAAAGAGCGCGCTATTTGATTTGATTTTAGAACGTAATGTTCAACTGGCTTATTCCTTTTTTAGTAGGTTTTATTTCTTTTTTTACTAATATAAGGTGAGGTTTCAAATGTTACACATCATACGCGACTACTGTAAGGCTCGCTCGTCTTTTTAAACTTAAAGAGAAAACGGTCGCGAGGCATTATACGGCGGTATACGGCTATTAGATAACCAATCCTATTTATTGGTAACTACCATCATCAGCCTATTAATCTCCCCACTGCTAGGGCAACGGCCTTCCCTATGGATGGAATAGGGAGATAAGGCCATGACCCCCCACGCGGGCCCAGTGCGAATTGGCAGATGCTAACGACTGCAAATGCAGCCGGGACCAACGACTAAACGTGCCTTCCGAAGCACGGAGGAACTCGAGATAGAAGACTTTTGGTCACCCATCCAATGACCGACCACTGCGAAAGTTGCTTTACTTCTACGAGCGCAGTCAGACAACGCTAACCACCTGCGCCTTTGAGCTCCTCTTATCATAATACGATAATAAATACTCCACAAACTCACACACACGCACAAACGCACATAAGATGATGCTTACCATAAAAATCCTTTGAGTATCATTGTCTAGGTGTAATATTTTTGTTAACGATGTGGGCTTGGTGACAAGGGCAGATCCAGGGGGGGGGGGGGGGCATGGGGGTCACGACCTCCACTGGGCTGGGTCCATCTGTACCCACTTCACAATCTGTACCCACTGTGACTTGACCACGACTTTGTTTACTGATAAGAAGGTCAGTGTCGCTTTGGGGTCATCCACGAAGTACGTCAGACGTTTCGGAAATGCTGTTTTAATTTAATAGTGTCTAGATGCAAAGTATGTGACTTCACACTAGGGAGGCTCTGACTCATAAATGTGACCAGCTGTAACTGTAAAAAGATCACGAAATTAGTGTACGTACTTTATGGATGACGACATTTAATACTAACTGTACCCTTAGTACGAGTTTTACAATTACGAAAACTATGATAGTTTTCGTGAGCTTGCACTCGTTGATTTTATTGTGCCTGTTTCAATAGAAATAAACAGTGTTTAAATTCTATCATTAAATAATTTGCGTCTTTTTAAATTTTGAGTATATTTATTTGGTTACTTTTCACCAAAATGGACATGGAAACATAATTTACAATTACGAAAATTATGATAGTTTTCGTGTGCGCAAACTCGTACTAAGGGTACGGATGAATGATGACCTCCGTGGCCGAGTGGTTTATACGCCGGGTTACAAGGTGTCGCCAACTCGAGAGGTCCCGGGTTCGAGTCCCGGTGGGGGCAGATGTTTGTGTGATGAATACGAGCATTTGTACTCCAGTCATGGATGTTTAATATGTTTTTCTATATAAATTTATAATACCCTAGTATCCCATAACACAAGCCTTACAGTACTTACTTTGGGACTAGGCTAAATGGTGTGAGTGTTGGAAATATTTATTCATTTTATTTTATAACTCTCTCCTAAATTCCAGGCCCACGAAGAGCCCAGCGCCAAAAGCATCGTTCAAGCGACGCGTAGCAGGTTCTAACATTAACCCAATGATTAAACGGCGAATCGTTGTATTTATTGTACGAAATATGCTACCAACCATTAAAAGAATGTCCAATACCTATATATGTTATTGTAAAAATGAACGATATGGAAGTGGAAATATAATCTTTTTGTCATACAAATTGTGCTTTTTTTATTCATTCATCATCATCATCCTATTAATGTCCCCACTGCTGGGGCACAGGCCTTCCCTATGGATGGAATAGAGAGATTGGGCCATGACCCACCACGCGGGCCCAGTGCGGATTGGTGGGTGCTAACGACTGCAGATGCAGCCGGGACCAACGGCTTAACGTGCCTTGCGAAGCACTTTTATTCATAATTAATGACTTATTTCTGTACACGCCGCCCGCCTAGTACAACTTTAAATACTATCCTTTCTGGGTAGTTGATATCTTATAAGAACTTTAAAATTTTCAAAAACTTATTCGTCGTTGTATTTGTAAAAAGGGAAGATATGTAAATATAGACAGCAAAGAAATCTTATTAATATTACAACATTTTTTTAATTGTAATACCAAACCTACAATATCTATAAACCATTATCTTAAAAATATTATTAGTCAAACAATAATAACTAATTGATTTTATGTACTTTGAAACGAAACATCTGCAATAAACCTTTGTTACACCTGAGTAGTTAATCTATTATTTCACACCTGAGGATGTATGTCACCAACCGCAATCAACTTTATCGCACACATGCGCACGCCCGTAGTAAACAAAGCGAAATCACCAACAATACAACGGAGTATCGTCGATAACGTCTTTATCTGACGCTATACGCCGATAAGAATTTCACCGTGTGTCCGGCAAGAATAACTTCACAGTTCTGACACAACTGCCAACGAAAATGTTCAGGTTTTCAATAAGTATTTTGGCTCTTATTATACAAAGATGCAGTGTGAATAGTGCGGACGTGTGTAACAGTGTTGATTTCTGCGCATGCCGCGATAACAATGACGAGACACAAGATTATCTAGGGGACGGTGTCGACTGCTCTTATCGAGGGCAGAATGTTCTGTCTACAGAACTCACGCTACCAGATGTCACATATTCACTGGATCTATCCTCGAACAACATATCTCAACTGGAAGCATCGAACCTACTAAAATCTACAACACTAGTCGAGTTGTCTTTGAAGAACAACGCTCTGAAAGAGATACCTTCCAATGTACTGAAATTATCGGCGCTTAAATGGCTGGACTTGAGCTATAACCAGCTGGAATTCATCGACAAAGATGCTTTCAACGACTCGAGAAAAATACAACATTTAAACTTGGCCAACAACAAACTAGTGACACACGAGAAACTCTGCTTCAATCACTTGAGTAATTTAAATGAACTCATTTTGGACAATAATGATTTGGGGAAGGGTCTTCTTGCAGCTAGTCTGTTCGACAGAAGTGGCTTCGGTTTGACTCACAAAATCCAAAGGTTGAGCATCAGCGGAGTAAACTTAAACCATGTACCCGACAATTTTTTTTCAGACGCGTACGATATCCGTAAGCTAGTGATATCCAACAACAATTTGAGAGACATATTCGAGTTACCTTTCACTTTGGAGTATTTGGATCTGTCGGATAATCCTATAACGGAAATATCCGACGAGGATTTCGCCGATGTGCCTGGATTGAAAGTTCTGAAACTCAACAATTTGTGGATAAAAGAGGTCCCAGAGTACGTGTTTATGCCGTTGCATGGTTTAGTCGAATTGGAACTTGAGAGGAATAAGAATTTGACTGTGTTCCATTCGTTGGCGTTTGGAATGGAAGTTTTAGATGATGCTGATTACTTCGTCCTGGAAGGGTTGTCTTTGAAGGGGTCCAGATTGACAAGGTTGGATAAAGAACTGGCTGAGCCACTAGGGCAGTTGAGCTGGCTCGATTTACAGGGAAATCCTTGGGTATGCGACTGCAACATGTTGTGGATAAGGAATTTGCAAATACAGCCGGAATATCAAGAACGTTTAAGGTAAAAACCAAATAGTTTCATATCAAAATGTAATACAGTTCATCTATAGATTATGATTCATATAACGATTATCATTTCCTGTTAGGACTGTAAATAAACACTTATTTCATTTCTAGACTTTCGAAGTAGTGTAATTCTTAATTGCAGCTAGGATCTGAACTACTTTGCCTTAATTGGTATCTAAATGTAATAAAGTTTTGAATACAAATTAGATTCCTAGTTTGGTCAATGTATATTTGATAAAACTAGTTTTTACGGGTTAATGCACGAAACTTTATTTATTTATTGACGTTTCGTAGCCTTTACAGGCTTCGTCGTCAGAATAAAACTTATTTAATTTGTCGAGCTACATTCGAAAGACTTTTATATTAATAAAAGTCTTAAAGGCTACGAAACGTCAATAAATAAATAAAGTTTCGTGCATTAACCCGTAAAAACTAGTTTTATCAAATGAGTGATGTGCGTGAAACCCTAAGAAACAAATACAATGTATATTTGGTTAGACTAGTGTAGCGAGCGAGCGAAAGATAAGAAAGACATACTTATAACTTTCCCTAAGAGCTAATTTATCTTCATCTCACTTGTGTAACAATTATATCTCTACATCCGAATGATAAGATTCATTTTGCGGATAGACAATTTCCCTGCGATTGTGTTGTGTTATCCTGAACCGAACGATAGAGGGAGAGACAATTGAATTGAATATCTACCTACAACGAAAGAAGAGCAATGTTGTACGTAATGTGAATTGTGCGTAGTTACTGTGATAGTGTGCGTGAGTGAAACTGTATATAACGTTCATCCGTTTTTTTAAACAAATAAAGTGCAATTTTGATTGCGTGGAACTTGTCGAAAAGTAGAATAATAATGTTTGTTTTATATAAAGATATAATATAACGCGTTCGTAATGTAAAAAAAATGGGTGCGTGTACTTATGTAGGCGCGTGAGAAGTTATCCTTCTTTGGCATCGTTTAAAATTAGTTTTTAATTGCATGCAAATAATTAATTACAATAAATTAATAAAAAGTCTGGAAAAGGACACAGTCAATAAAGTTCAGTTTTAATTTGAAAAAATAAATAAATAATCAAAATATTCAATTAAAATCGCTACTGAATATAATTTATTAGAACATATGTGATTTGCACTTGTATGAAACTCAAACACGTATTCCGAATATACAAACTAGAAACATGTGGATAAATATTATGAATATGAATACCTATAACTGTTACTTTATTACAAAAAATAAAGATGTGGTTTTTGGTTCTACTACACCAATGGTCAAGAGATGGCGCTGTAGTCTCCTGAATCGCGCTTTGGTTCCGTTGTTCCAGATTAATAAATACTTTTGATAGGCCTTCACAATGCAGTCGTTAGCACCCACTAAATAGAGATTCTATTTCTATTTTGTTGGTAGATTTTCTTAATGTGCGGTAAACACAAAAGTAATTTTTGTGTTACAGTGATGCGCGCGCATCTTAAAATTTCACTCTCATCATTTTTTCATAACGCGCCTAAAGAAGTATAACTTCAAAAATTAGCTCTTTCGTTCTCTGTGATGAAATGCAGATAAATTATTCATTTATTTCGGTACTTAGCTAGTGAGCTAAAGATATAAAAGAGACATATATATCTTTAGTTCAGAAGATATATTAGCTCTTTTCTTTTCAGTGATATATTTTGCGCAAGTCTATATTTGGTATAGTACTTTAGCACGACATCTTTCATTATCATTTATGATATTTGCATACTTCTAACTCATCATCAGCCTAGTAATGTCCCCACTGCTGGGGCTCAGGCTTTCCCTATGGATGGAATAGGGAGATTGGGCCATGACCCACCACGCGGGCCCAGTGCGGATTGGTGGGTGTTGACGACTGCAGATGCAGCTGTGACCAACGACCTTGCCTTCCGAAGCACGGAGGAGCTCGAGATAGTAAATTTTTGGTCACCCATCCAATGACCGACCACTGCGAAAGTTGCTTAACTTCAACGATCGCAGCCGAACGTGCTAAACACTTGCGCTATCAAGTTCCTCTACTTCTAACTCAAACAAAGAAAACTAGACCAAATATGCTTTAGCCTACATTTGCAACATAATACAGATAAACAATTTTGATTTCCATAAAACCTATTCCATTTTAGGTGTGGATCACCGAAGCCATTCTTCAACAGCAAGATATTCGAACTGGATGCGAAATACTTCACTTGCACTCAAATAAGTGACCACCATATTGGCCTGGCGCTCGCCGGAGTAGCGTTCTGTGTGTTACTCACCGGAATAGCGCTATGGTTCTTTGTTTTCATACCCCGATACCAATCTAGGGGTCATTGTCTAGCTAATTTACACGCACCAACTGCCGCGTATACAATACTACCTGTACATAGTCATAGGACTGAATTTTAACCTTATGGGCCTACCACACGCACGAGCTTCACCACAGTTTTGCCTGCGCAGGCCGGTTTGTACACGGAACACGGTGCGTGTAGTTGGTAAAACTGTATCACGCACCAACCCCACAGCGCGGCCTGCGCACTTTTCGACTTGCTTGAAATTTTGCCTGCGCATGCCCGGCCTGCGCGTACTTGTCTGTGCGTGTGGTTGGGCGTTCAGTGTTCAAGCCACAGTCGAGTGTACTTTGTGTCGAGGTTCGCTCGTCGTTTCATGAGGTCGTTCGTCATCGTCACTCAAAAATGGCAAAAAACGTAACAATTCACCATAAGCATTTTCATCCATCCGTATATAATTACGAAAATCGTTTGGATCATCTCTGAAATCCTTAATTAGATTAATATGTGTATGAATTTTTCTATTCAACAGCCTTTTTTTTTGTACACTTTGATCGCTTTAATTTTGACTTTTGCGTTGTCTTTTTTTTAATAGCAAACACTTGAAAAATAGTAGCATAAGAAATGTTTCTTCATTAGGAAACATTGTTTCCACGCCAATGATTTCGATAACAATGAGGCTTGCGCGTACTTAACTGTGCCGTGTGGTAACGCACAAAGTGTACAGTTTTTTCGTGCGAGATGCTTGCGCAGGCCAAACTGTGGTGAAGCTTGTGCGTGTGGTAAGCGCATTAGAAATAAGAACTGTATTTGCCAAAGTTAAAGGATGAGGCCAGGGTTTTGTATGAAATCTGGTCCCACCTTCCAATAGCTATGTCTGTTATTTATTTATTTATTCTTTATGCACAAATGTACAATGGCGGACTTAATGCCGTAGGCATTCTCTACCAGTCAACCATAGGATGTTGTGGATATTATTAGTGGTAGGGTGCACAACTGAAGTGGAAATCACATTGAAGTTTATAAAAATAATAAATATAAATAATAATATATAAACATACACATACATAAGTTAATATATTTAAATAAATACACAAATACATAGATATTTCCAAAATAAATACAAAATAATGACGACAAACCACTCAACGAAACGCCTGTTCTAATAAAAAGCTTCGCAGTTTGGTTTTAAAGGTATATTTACTGGGGGACATTTCTTATATCTAGCGGGAGATCATTCCACAAAAGTATCGTTTTTACGAAGAAGGAAGAGTGAATAATATCGGAGCAGTGTGATGGAACGATAAGTAAACGATTAAGTAGAAGAAGATCGAAGATTTTTGTGTTACATCGTTGGATAGGTATTATGAGCTGAATAAAAGTTACTTTAGCGCCATTTCCATTCTTAGTCCGTTTTGACTTATTTCTAATTAAACATAGTTGGGGTAGACAAGTTCTGGAGTGGAGACCGCGTCTAGGCAAACGAAGTGTAGGACGTCCTCAGGCGCGATGGAGTGACGATTTGCGCAAGGTGGCTGGCAGGAGCTGGATGCGAGTAGCCCAAGATCGATCTGAGCGTGCATTTGGAGAGGCCTATGTCCAGCAGTGGACCAAGTTAGGCTGTTGATGAACATAGTAACATGATGTGAACATTGTGGGTTACCTATAATGCGAAGTGATGGCGCTGCCTTGCAGCTTAAGAATGGCTAGAGGAATATCGACGCGATCCGTGAAGGCCGCGGTAGCATAATTGGTCAGTGCATTCGCCCGGATTGCGAAGGGTGCGGGTTCAAGTCCCGTCTGCTGCCTGGTCCGCGTGGATTTTTTTCTAATTATATTTTCTTTAGATAGTAACATGATTTAAAATCAATGTTAATAAATGTTAATATATATTAACATTGACAAAGAAAACAACGATAACATATTTTAAATACACACATTTATTTTATTATCGTAGTCTACAATGACGTCATATAATAAAAGGCAGGGCCCACAAATCCCTCATGCCTGGCGTAGCCTAGGTACCAAATGATTGATACAATATGCGTACAGGTCCCTACAGTACGTCGTCCAGTTAAGCAGGTACATTGCGTGTATAAAGCACAGAAATACAAATAAAAGCTAAAAATAGCATTTTAATGCGATTCAAATAAGAACAGGAAAGTGAATGACCTCAAACCTGTCAAATGTCGCTTGAAAAGTACGGTTTGCAAAAAAATCTTGGAACCCTTTTTTAGCACTCAGCTAATTCTAGAATAAAAAGCAAACATTTGTAAATAATCAATAACAAATATTGATAATTAATATTGTTTGATATTTTTTTTTTTCATTTATTGAGCTTTAGCTATGACTGGTTGATATTCTAAATCGTGAACCAAATGTCACTTTAAGTTGTGTTCATAAATTCAATTTAAAACTTTCTTTTACATAAAAGATACATGTTCGTATGTGACTTAGTAATAGTGCATGATTAATGATTATTCATAACTACTCCGTGGTAATGCAGAGATGGGCGGAATTGAAGTGCTAGATTCTGAATAATAGCTTTTCTCACACAGTCATAATAAATAAATATTATTAAAAATCGGTTGTTAAAAATCAGTTTTTTTTTCACTTAATCTTAGCAAATAAGTTTTATTGGATAAAACTTATTTTTGCTCACTCTACCTGTTTGGTTTGAATTGACAGCTATGGCGTCACAATATGGCGCCCAGTCGGTCCTATTCTTAGTTGGATCGCATTATACTAGGCTACTGCCAAAACTGCAATGTTTAATAAAGGATAACTCAGAACGGACTAAGATTTGGAACTTGGCGCCATAGTAACTTTTATTCAGCTTAAAAATACCAATTTAACGTTGTCACACACTTAGCTATTGGAAGGTGAGACCTAAGTGGGACCAGGATTGGCATTCTCCTATATCTTTTATGGTTGTATTTTTGTGATATATTGTTAGAACAATACAATGTCAAGTGTAGGTTGAGGTATCATAAAATGATATTAAGTGTTAGTATAGTTGAAAATTAATGCCACTATTGTGTTTATTAAGTACACCTAATATATCAGTCACGACATTTTGAAATTCAAAAGTAATTTACAAATTTTATCGACAGTTGAATATTGTCCATATTTTTAGAATTTTAAATTAAATTGTGTTGTAAATATTGTGATAGGAGTTTGAAGTTAGGGGGCAGGTTAGATATTATTATATGTACCTGGGATATTCTCATCAGTGTTCAACCCTATCGCATGGCGAATAAAGTTGACAATCATATAGGGTAACATTCCATATGATCTTCTATTTAATCAAAAAGCACGTGAAATCGAATTTTGTACATCTTCCATATTTAAATAGAAAGATTTAATTTTATATAAAAAAAAACCTTCAAAGCTCCCCGAGGAGCTCGATAGCGCAAGTGGTTAGCGCGTTCGGCTGCGGTCGTTGAAGTTAAGCAACTTTCACAGTGGTCGGTCATTGGATGGGTGACCAAAAATTTACTATCTAGAGCTCCCCCGTGCTTCGGAAGGCACGTTAAGCCGTTGGTCCTGGCTGCATCTGCAGTCGTTAGCACCCGCCAATCCGCACTGGGCCCTCGTGGTGGGTCATGGCCCAATCTCCCTATTCCATCCATAGGGAAGACCTGTGCCCCAGCAGTGGGGACATTAATGGGCTGATGATGATGAAAGCTCCCCACTGTTTGGAAGGTATCGTGAACAAATTAAAACGAACAAGTTTATATCCACTTCCTTGATATATATTTCAAAAATACAAGTGTACAATTAATTTTACAAAGTATTACATTAAAACATTGTTGTTTATAAATTCTACATAGACAAACGTTTGTGCGGAAATTACTTAACTTTAAATGAGTATATAGTTTCTTTGAGATGACTTAAGTAAGGCGCTATTTAATAACTTACTAGTCTTTTTTAATGTGTCAAAGAAAAACAAGGCGATTTCTTATGAAAATGTAAAAAACGTATGAATGAGTTTCGGGCTCAATGAACAATTTCAACCACCCCTATATTGTTAATTAATAAATTACTTATTCGATGCCTGTCGTTTCATTCCCTGTGACAAATAAATGTACAACTCTTCATTAAACAAAGGAATCGCAAATGAGTAAGACATTCTGTCCCTCTCGCACATGCTGTCCTAAGTAACGAGCGACAGAGACAGAATAACACGAGATATACTGTGCGCTTGTGCTATTGAAGTAGAGTGTCAAAATTGACAAAATTTTCACTATTCCGATGTACGAATTACTGCTAGTGATGTACTTATACTATCTTAACTTAACAATCGATGAGAAAGTTTTAATTTTATATCTACAAATTCATACTTCGAGCAGGCACAAGCATTTACACAAGGCAAGTTGAGCATTTAGTTCCAATTTATCGCTTTATACCACTTAACAGACTTAATGTTAATTATATTGATATTCGAAGCATAATGGAGAGTTGCTAAATATAATACCAATACATATATTTATTTTTTCTATTATTTAAAGTTTTTAAAGATACCTCTAGCCAATATGTTATTATTTTCGTTATAAGCACAATACATCGAAGACACGTCAATGAATACAATTTGTCATTGAAAGCCTTTATTTCGTACCAATAAGAGTGATATTCAAAGAGTAAGACACTAACGAAAATGAAGGGTCAATTTACAACACCCGCTTTACAACTTGGACGCGATATGATTGCTACTTGCTGTTAGTAGGTACTTCAACAACAACGATATGTGCAACAATTAGTTAATGAAACGCCCCAAACCAATAAGTTCTTCTTTCGTTCGTCTTTAATAAAAGAATTTTATTTTATTTAATTTTATGTTCATAAATTAATAATCGAGATTTTCAGCAATTCTCCATTACAATTCGTCATAACGCCAATGTTAAAAATAACTGTGTTTATATCGATATGTTACAATAAGCTTTCAAGCAATCTTTGGTCACTTTAGCGATATCCGTCAGCGGCTAAATGTCTCTATGCACAACCATTATTTTAAAACGTCATACAAAACATTGTAAAAGCAGTCTTAATTTATAAGTACATATTATAATAGATCAGTTCTTTTATTTGCAATTTACATTCGGCAATTCCATTAAAATAATACAGGCACATATAATCTGCACTAAAGATATGAGCAGTATACACCAAAAACATATTTGCTACTAACATTTATTTAAATGTATTATACTAAAAGCGAACGAGATTATTCGTAATATCATGTTTTTTTTTATAAATATTATATTCTACTCTATGATATGGTAAATTAAACTAAATATTTTATATTAAGTTAAAAATACTGAGAGATTACAGGTAATTCAATATGCGTGATATATTTTTAATAGGGATGCATCTGATACCGGTATAGATAGGGCTATAATTGGTTTTCGCATTTATGGGAATCGCCGATATAAGTTTGGCCCTACAACGATACATTTTAACCATCCTTTGTGTGGACACGGCATCCCCACGATTAGTTTGTCTAATGTCGGGGTATCCCCGTGTTTTATTCTTGCAAGAAACTTCTTTTTTAAGTGTGTATGCTGCTGGTCGCAGATGATCTTTTCAGCGTCATCGAGTTTGGGCACGCGAAATCCTAAAGGTCCCTTTAGGATTTCGCGTGCCCAAACTCGATGAGCTTGAGGTCCCTCAAGCCGAGAATTGGCTACTGGACAGTATGAAAAATAGTGTACCAATTGTGACATCTGTATTTAATTTGAATGTAAGCAGCGATTTTACTATTCTGAATCAACAAATAATTAATAAGTTTTCTATAAAATCATGAAATAGAAATGTTTTTTTTGCTCCACGGTCCCGTGACCGAAAATGCCTGGGATTGGCCAAGACTAAAATGACGTCACACGCCAGTAAACTTGGGCCAAAGTGACATTACATTAAATCGTTTGACGTTTTAATGACAGCCGTATGACGTCACATACTAGTGAGACGTCATATTGTCCAGAGAAACGTTTTCGCGGCAATTAGTTTTTTTTTTTACTGAATTACACAACAGAATTAAAAATATCCACTTTTTATGAAAACGATAAACATTAGTTAATAACGAAAGATTGTTTTCTAAAACATTTCAAATATCCTATTGACGAGGGCCTCTAGAGGTTTTCCAGGCGGATAGCATCTCCCCACGGAGAGGAGACTCCCCTCCTCTCCGTATGGAACCTCCAGATCACTCGAACCTGAGGGGTTCGACAAACTAGAGGGCGGACTCGGACCGCAGCTCTAGTTAGCCGTTGTCGCGAGGGGCGAGGAAAGTCGTCAAGGAACATCTCTGTCACTGATACGTCATGTCGTGGCTGGGTCTTCGCACTCTTATCCTACGGGTGCGGTGTCTGTCTTATACTAAGCTAGTGTGCATGTTTGCTAACTGTGTAGTGTTGATGTTTGTGGCCTAGGAAGAAGGAGTGGAAGGCGCGTTGGCGTGGGTGATTTCATCGTCGGGGTATTCTATGACGTGCTTAAGCCGAACGGAAGTCTTAGTCTTAGTAGTACGGCTGGCTGTTTCCGCAACTCGACACCGAGTGCCTATTTTGCGTGGGGATGACATCAGTCCTACCATACCAGCTCCTCCAGAAAGCTAGCCGAACGGAATTGGAGAGACTTTGACAGCTACCCTTTGTCAATTATTGCTTTTGATGTGTAATATTTTGTTTTTATTGTAATGCTAATAATTTTGATAAAATACAAATACCAATTTACGTTATTTATAACACCGTTTGAAGCGTGCAGTACATCGATAGAGTCGATACTTTTTATAAATATCAAAATAGTATCGTCAGAAATGCGTATTGATGCATCCCTAATTTTAACATGTCACTATTAGAGGCACTCGGTGCGCCATATTTCAATTATGGTTGAAACCAAAGCTTATGACCGAAACAGATTTTGAAGCGTAATGCCACCCGACGCGTATTATCTATGATCAACGTGTGCGTATCGCGTCGCGTCGGATGTTCCTAATGTGATTCTGATTATAGAAAAAAAAACGAGCGAGCCTTACAGTAGTCGCGTATGATGTGTAACATTTGAAATCTCACCTTATATTAGAAAAAAAAAAGAAATAAAACCTACTACAAAAGTAATAAGCCATTTGAACATTATGTTCTTAAATCAAATCAAATAGCGCGCGCTTCCCAAACTTCCTGTTACACACTTCCGTCCCATTTCACGTAATCACTCCCACAAATTGCACAAAAACGAGAGGAAAGATGTTACACATCAATAATACATTTGATTTGACTCAACACGCGTCAAGTGGCGTCGCGTTTCTAAAGTCTGTTTCGGCCTTTATCGTGATGGGGGTAACAGTCTACCACTAAGTGATTTTGTAATAAATGTTTGTGCATTTAATAAAAAGATCCTTATTAACTATATATTATTACTTATACAATTCTGTAATTACGTATGTATATGCCACAAAATGTACATTATCAAATAAAAATATCTAAATTTATGTTTGTAAAAACATGGTATCAAAACCTTTAAATGCATGTTTAGTCTTTTTGAATGTCAGAATGGCTTTAGCGTGTCCAAAGGCTTAACCTAATTTGAGATTCTTAATTGTTAGATTGCACTTGTGTTGTGATTCATAATCGGAAATGTTTTATAATGAAATAAAACCTTCACTTTTTTATGCAAACAACTTATAAGTAAACCTACACTAATATCAAAAATGAGTTTTTTAAGTGTAGGATTTTTGTAGTTGCTATCATATTCGCAGCACAATTTAACTATCTCTGGCTGTCTGTCTGTTCTGAACTTTATTTTACTATAAATAAGATACATCCTAGGGCCTAGGGTAATACTTCCAAAATTATGAATTTGTCAAAAACGTAGATTAGATTTATTTCACGTAGCGACGATGTTGCCAATCTATAACGTTATTACGAACAACGTATTAAACTATGTCTTGAACCTACAGAGTTAATTGCTTAAACAACACTTCATTAAAATGTGTTAACATACTTTTGTATAAGCGCTTATAAGCTGCTCATTATATAAACCCCAGCAGACATCCAGATACGTAAAATTAAAGTGACTTGCACTTTTTAATATTTGTTGTCTATGGCTGTTACCGTTTTACACAGAATATTTGCCAATGTCCCGTAGTGAGAGAGATAGCTCGGTATTAAGATTGACCCAACTTAAATATTGCTCGCTGAACAATTTCACTCACACAATTAAGCATAAAACCCTAGCAAAATACAATTAAAATTCTCTAGTTAAATCACCTGTGTTTAGCCAAAGCATCAGGCAACCGTACTAGATAAAATCCAAATGTCATACCAGCCGGTGATCATCCCGGGTTAGAAATTCTTCCTGTCAAACGGACGTTTCAGAGTTCAGCCTTAGCACAAATCTGTTGCTCTTCGGATCCACCACTTCTTCGGCCAGACTAAACTTGGGTATTTGCTTTATGGAGCATATTAGTGATATGTCGCCTTGCCGCAGCTGGAATTCTATGCCGTGTGCCAATGGTCGGGCTAAAAGCTCGTCCGATATGAGAGACCAGCGTTGTATAGGTCTGGTTTCCTGGTCGGCCGCTAGAACTGGGCCTTCTACAAAGAATGGCTCGAGAAATGCGCGCGGCGACGCGTCTTGCGATAAGCAGCGCGCGAGATGAGCTAATACCTGCAAAGTTACAATTTTGACCGTAAAATTTGTGCCAATTGATGGCAAAATGGCAGATTTATATAGGCGACCAAACCCAATGACATACCAGCGCTTACACCGAGTAAACACTTTTTCTTAGCCATAACAATACCTATCAGTATTGTTATGGCTATAGCTATAGCTTATGATTTCATTTTGGTATTTCTGACCGCTAAAAGTTTTCAAATACCTCACGCTCTTTAATATTTTTATCACCAATTCATAAGGAACAAAAAGAGATCGAGGCTTTTGAAAACCTTCGGCGGTCAAAAAGAGAAATAAAAAAAAAATCTTAAGCTATAGTCATAACAATTCCGATAGGCGGTAGGCCCCCAATCCAGCCAACACAAGTAAATAACGCCGAAGTTACAATCATCTATTGTAACTATGTAAATCTGCCATTAGCTAATATTGACTTTAATTTAGAGCGTATATAGCAAAATGTGAGTGATAACTGAAAAAATATTAGCTTCTTTATTTTAAAACATTTTGAGATATACTATAACATTTATGCATAAAAAAACAGCTAGATCCATCCGGTTCCGTGAATTTTTCGCTAAACACTTAGAGGTTTTAAATAGAGTTGGGCCAACTCTACTATAGTATGACTAACCGACTGATCGGTCGATTGCCGACTAGTAGGTAATGCCTATCATTCTAATACCTATCTGCTACCGACTGATTGGGGTCCCCATAAGCAGTATTTGCGGGCTATTTAAAACTTTACGGCTCTAGAGATAGGTCATTTCGCCAAGTTAATCTATGGTTAAACTTCTTCATACAAAAGTAGGCTCTAACTATCACAAAAAACGGCTTATATCCCGTGGGTAGCGCGCCCCGATCGGGTAGTGTATAGTCCCATATCCCAGTAGTGACGAAATATTCCGAAAACCTCCCTAAAACCTCGATGACACTACACTAAAAATATTTTCTTATCTTCATTTCAATTGGATTATTATTTATCTCAATAAGATTATACTTGTACAGCTAACACAAAATGAATATTTGAAATGAAAATGTGGGTAAACAAAATACAACACACTCAACGGCCGCCCTCGTGTCGTGCCCGCGTGAGCAATCCCAGTAGTGACGAAATATTCCGAAAACCTCCATAAAGCCTCGATGAGACGGGGCAAGTTTACAAGCTATAAGCCAGCAAGTTTGCTAGCAGCCGCGGCTTTTTTACCATCTGCTACTCGATGATACGGGGCGAGTTTACAAGCTACTAGCGAACTCGCTGGCTTATAGCTTGTAAACTGGCCCCGTGTCATCGAGGCTTTAGGGAGGTTTTCGGAATATTTCGTCACTACTGGGATTGCTCACGCGGGCACGACACGAGGGCGGCCGTTGAGTGTGTTGTATTTTGTTTACCCACATTTTGATTTCAAATGTTCATTTTGTGTTTGCTGTACAAGTATAATCTTATTGAAATAAATAATAATCCAATTGAAATGAAAATAAGAAAATATTTTAAGACTGTAACTTTAGATAGATACATACTCTTGGTACTGTATAGAAATTAAAAAAAACAAACATGGATTCTTAGGCCCGTATTACAGAATGACAACTAAGTGTTCATCTTTACTTGAGTACAGTTAGAAAGGGATATCGCTATGTGCTATATACAGGGTGAAATTGAATGTTTCTATGAAACTTCGTGAGATTGATGGGTTACATGTATAGAGTATGCCTGATTTTTTTCGGATTTTTTAAAATAATTTTTTTCGTTTTTTAATTTTTTATTTGGTTATTTTTTTGTCATTTCTTCCTTATGAGTAATTATTCATTTTAAACACGTCTACATAGAAGTTATAAAGCAAGTTAAAATAAGCACTAATAAAAAAACGGAAACTTAATGAATGCCTTCATTATGCCTACAGTCGAGATCAGCGCCGGTCGGGGCGACGACCGGCGGCCGCCTGTAGGTACCTAACTACTCGCACAGATGACTCGGCGCTTACCTACTCGCTTTGATCCACACTATTTAAAAACAATACAATAAAATAGTCTTAGATGCTATATTATAATTATTTATTCACTGATACACAATACCTTTGAATATTATTTCATAAAGCACAGGTAATTAATCAATAATATAAATCTTCTTAAAATTAAGAGCAAATCGGTATAACTTACGAGCTTAGGGAAGGAAGGAACTCTTCGTGTCTGATTTGCCCACGTCATGAAATTCCGAACACATTTAATCACAGCCACAGTCACACATACACACACACACACACACATAATAATATGTTGTTTTGCGGCAAGCACGGGCGGGCGGCGCGCCGCACGCTGGCAACTAGCGCCGGTTGCGGCGTCTTTGATGATGTGAATTCCGCCCACCTCCCCTCTTCCCCGCACGCGGACGTTTGCTTTGATTGCATGCAAAACGCAGTCGCAAGTATATTAATCGCGCGTGAGCGTGCGCATCTTTTGACTTGGTGACATACACTGTGATAATTTCATTATGCCTCGGTATACAAACCAAGAATATTTAGAGATGGTGTACTGCTATCGCGAGTGTGACGAAGTAGGTTTGGTTTACGAATGAGTCCCTAAACCATAGAAGTTGCATTTTGTGCAGTGAGTAGTGATAGGGACACTTTAAAAAAGGTGAAAAGACACGTCCGCAAACAGGCAACCTTTGTTTGCAGCAAAATGGTGGTTTAGAGCAACAATTTTGCAGATAATAATTTAAGTCTCTTTTTATTGCTAGTGTAAATACTTTTTGATTAGAAACAACTAATTGTGTACTACCAGTGTGATTGATTTGATAAAAAGTTCTAGTGAAAAAAATGAATATGTTCCTGGTTCCTCGTTGTACCTACCTAAATCGCCGGTCTCGTAAGTACTTTTGAATACCTGGTTATAAATTTCATTCTTGGGGTATTAAGCAATAAGTATTTCTTTTTGTTTAAAATTTGCCTATTTCCAATCGTGACAAAATTATTATTAACTTTTAAAGTTTTTCTCTGCTTAAGAAAAGATGACATTTGTGCTTATTATTTCAATTTCAATAAAGGCATCTAAGACGATTTTATTGTACCTATTGTGTGGAATCAAACGAGTCAGTTGAGCTCTGGTTAGAGTTAGGTAGCTACTTACTCAACGGCTGGCGGGCGCGGTCGGTCGTTGACCCGCGGTGGAATTTCAATGTTTTTCCGTTTTTTAGAAGTGCTTATTTATTAGTTGTTTTTCACTGGATATGTAAGTTTGTTTGTTTAAAATGAATAACTACTCAAAACGAGGAAAGGACATAAAAATACACAAATTATAAATAAATACATGAAAAAAATATACTTCAAAAAAATCCGAAAAAAGACAGGCATACTATAACCCAACAATCTCACGAAGTTTCATAGAAACATTCAATTTCACCCTATATAGCGACATCCCTTTCTAACTATGCTCAAGACTAGATCAATCACTGAGAATCTCTTATCTATTAGACAAGTCCGTCCGTCTGTCTGTGGTGCTGTTTCAGCGGCCAAACCGTAAGAGATAGATAAAGAGAATATTTAAGTTATAACTTAAGAATAGTCTGATAAGACTACAAACCGGATTTGAGTTACGTAGCACTTCCGGTTTTCGAGAAATCACGAATTTCAAACGAAACCACACAAAATCTCCGAAGTTCTCAATTAATTAAATACATTTTTTTTTTAATCAGGTTTTGGTGAACATTTGGTTCACTGGTTTGCTAGTCTTTCTATAATACGGGCCTTAGTTTATTTCATTTTATTATGTGCAGATTATAATCGGCATGTTTTGCCGAATAGTCGCCATCTAATCGCCGACTACAAACGATGACGCATAGTCACCTTTCCCGACTAGTCTGCCCATCTCTAATTTTAAATAATTAAAATAAACACTTGAGTGAACTTTATAAATCTACCTTGTTAAATCGACATTTGAATTCGTTTCGCCTGACCGCTTGGCTGAAGCGAACAGTAAAGTCGACCGATTAGCCACGGCTCTAAGCCACTTTAATATAATAACCGAAGAATAATCTTGGACTACTTACGCAGTGTTTTGTCTATGTTCATCGAATAAGGTTGATGACTATTTTTTTTTTCTTCGTTTATCAGGTAGATTATCAAAAAGTATTGGACACGTATTTTTTCTTTTTTCACATAATATAAACATTGCAGAGATATATTGATTTGAAAAGTCGCATGACGTCACGTTTGAGTTCACTTATAAGTGAAAATTCACTCAAAAGTGACGTCACGAGCCCCTACTCCCAAACTTTGACGCGCTATAACTTAGTCATTTTTTGGTTGATTGCCCAAAGAAAAAATACGTGTCCATTATTTTTTGATCATCTAACTGACGGACTAAATAGAATTTCATTTACTGTACCCCGTCATCACCCCTATTGCAAATATAATTTGCGTGATGTGAACGAAACCCGATGGCCTGTGAGGAGCCCGATGGCCTGTGAGGAGCCCGATGGCGCAAAAGGTTAGCGCGTTCGGCTGCGATCGTTGAAGTTAAGCAACTTTCGCAGTGGTCGGTCATTGGATGGGTGACCAAAAATTTACTATCTCGAGCCCCTCCGTGCTTCGGAAGGCACGGAGGAGTCGTTCGCACACACCGCACTGGGCCCGCGTGGTGGGTCATGGCCCGCACTCGCTATTCCATCCATAGGGAAGGCCTGTGCCCCAGCAGTGGGGACATTAATAGGCTGATGATAATGATGATGTGAACAAAACACTGCCTAAGTAAATATCTAGTTTTTTGAAATATTATTAAATATAATGGTTTTATTAAATGACTCTTTGTCACTTTATATCTTTAATCATTATTTTACCTTTATCTTACATTTGAATATTCCTTAAATCTATTAAATAGCCTTTTCTTCACAATCTAATACTTGTAAGTACTTTCTAGGGTTCCGTACCTCAAAAGAAAAAAACGGAGCCCTTGTAGGATCACTTTGATGTCCGTCCGTCTGTCTGTCCGTCTGTCAAAACCCTTTATCTCGGACACGCGTGGAGGTATAGAGTTAAAATTTAAATATACTCAAACCTACAGTTCCTTAAAGCTGTGGAAAATCAAACTTCTAAGTTAACTTAAAAAATACGCCCAATGAGGGCTACCGTTTTCTGCCTCACCAGATTGCGCCACTGTTGAGTGAGGTCCTAAATTGTAACTCACGAAAAAAAGGAATGCGGAAAATCGATTGTCTATAATATAAAAATAAATCGCTGAATGTGTTGCTAAGCGCAAATTTCGAGAACAGCTGAACCGATTTCAATAATTCTTTTTTTAGAATATTCCTTGAAGCACGAGGATGGTTCTTACGAAGAGAAAAATTAAAAAAATTGCCTGAAAAAGTCCAAAAACAACACTTTTCTATACTCCCATGCAAACGATTCGTAATAATACTTAAAAGTCAATTTGAACTTTAATACCATACCATAAATTTCGAATATTAGTGGAGAGGATCCGGGAAGGCAAAACAATGAGAGCTACCGTTTTCTGTCTCACCAGATGGCGCCACTGTTCAGTGAGGTCCTAAATTGTAACTTTTAAAGTTTATTAATACGCACATGAAATCAAAGGTTACATTTAGATCGTATTTTAACACAAAAGAACCATATCCTAAACATAATAGGCCATGCCACAGTGACGCGCAGTTCCGTTTTATTCGGAAAAAATGGAACATAATCATTTTTCTAAGCTCAAATTTTTAATAACTGACATTCATTGCCACATAACTCATATTTGCCATAATTAAGCCGAATTCTTACCAATTATTTACAACATTATTTTAATTAGAAATAAGCCTGCGTAGTCAACCAACAAGCAATAACATTTGACATTTCGGAGACCTCACGCTACACTAGCGCCTCTAGCGGCGGATTCATACGCGATAGCCCTCATTGTTGTTGTGCCTACTTTATACGGAACCCTCGGTGGGCGAATCCGACTCGCACTTGACTGTTTTTTTTAATACTCTATTTGTCTTCTTTACAACTGATACCATGAATATTTCCTACATATCTACTGTTACCTTTTACATGCATTAAGTACAAATACTCACCGAGTCTGCAGAGTGTCTGGGCTGTTGTCGCGTTGCTCGCAGATATTTCTGCAGAGCTCGCGCCAACGAAGGGAACACTGCCTGCGCGGCCTCACGAGGGCCCAGTGCCCCACCTAGTGAACCATAGAATACGGTGCAGATTAGAAAGAAAGAAAAATAATTTTAGTTATGCTTTTATTTATTTTTAAGCATTTAACTGCTAGATGTTTAAATCTAAAGAAAAGTTTACTAGAAAAAGTTCACGCGGACCAGGCAGCGGACGGGACTCGAACCCGCACCCTTCGCAATCCGGGCGAATGCACTGACCATTATGCTACCACGGCCCTATTGGCCGCGTCGAAATTTTCCTAGAAATGAATTGACCAACGAAATTAAAGAATGGACCACGTTTTATTAGCACCTTTAAATTTATCCTGTTTTTGATGTGTAACATCTTTTCTCTCGCTTCCGTGCAATTTGTGGGGGTGATTACGTGAAGTGGGACGGAAGTGTGTAACAGCAAGTTTGGGAAGCGCGCGCTATTTAATTTCATTTTAGAACATAATGTTCAAATGGCTTATTCCTTTTGTAGTAGGTTTTATTTCTTTTAGTTAAAAAAGAAATATATGTTACACATCATACGCGACTATTTTTTTTATTGACTACTGCAAATGATTGACAACATGAACATAGTACCGTTAGCGCTGGAGACCCTCACGCGGCGTACGTGCGCGAAGGCGTCCTCAGTGGCGGTGAGCAGGCGAGCCCTACGTTTGCGCACGCGTCTCTCGCGCTCCGCTTCCTCGTAATAGCGCTCGTTGTGAGTGGAGCCCGAGTCGCGGCGACGACCCGCGCTGCCAGTACACGACCCCGTCGTCGATCTGGCAACACGAATGTTATTAATAAAGTAACAAATAATTTTGACGACCTCCGTGGACGAGTGATTTGTACGCCGGGTTTCATAGTGTCGCCTACTTGATAGGTCCTGGGTTCGAATCCCGGTGAGGGCAGATGTTTGTGTGATGAATACGAGCATTTGTACTCCAGTCATAAATGTTTAATATGTTTTTCTATATAAATATACTTATTTAAGTACTGTATATGTATTCTATCCATTACCCTAGTATACTACGGTATACTAGGGTAATGCCTTACAGTGCTTACTTTGGGGCTTGGCTAATTGGTGTGAGTGTTGGAAATATAAAAAAAACAAATGGTTTTCATTGACATATTTATGTACATTTTTATATTGATAATGATAACCTTGCAAAGAGGAGTACAGGAAAGCAATTTAGAAGATGGAAAGATGATGTAAAAATAGTAGGAGGGAGTACTTGGACAAGAAAAGCAAAATGTAGAACAATTTGGAAGATATGCTACTATGATGAAGGGCAAGAATTTTAGTATGCTATATACTTTCTCCCTTAACAAAAATGCTGCATTAATACTATGTAATTATAAAGACCTAATTTCAAACAACCCCACATTTAGCTTTGGCTGAGTAAGAAGTGTTTATTTTAATTTTATATAAATCTAAAGGCTTTTACTTTTCATGGTTTTTAGTTTGCTTTAGGTCCTAAAAACTACTTATATTAAATAAGTCATATTGAAAATTTCATGAAGGTTTAATGAGACACAAAGGGTCTTATTAATAAACAAAGAATAAACTTAGACTAGTTACGCCGTGTTTTGTTCATGTCACTCAAATGCCATTTATCATTCAATAGACAGAGACCAATATTGGGGTAACTAATCCAAGCCTAGTCTTCGTTTATTAATAAGGGAGAAGGAGTTTAATAGCTAGCCTTTATCACAAAACTAAATAGCAGTAGCATTAAATAAAATAGTATTGTTACGAAAAACAAATTTGTACTTGAACAATGTTATTATCCAAAATTTGTTTACTCTGGCTAAAAAGATAGTAAGTGAGTGATAAGAGCAGTTGGTTTATCACATAAATCATATCTTTATTTATGTAGGCCATTATAGTACAGTATATCAGTTAAAAGGTAACAAAAAACTTAATTATAATTAACTAACCTGGCTTGTCCTGAAGGTGCATTAGTATTAGATCCATCGACATCATAAAACTTGATGCTGCTCTGTCCTTTCCTCTGCGACTTAGAAATAGAGATCTTCTCTAAATACGGATTGTATATTGGAAACTCTGTATAATATTTCTGCAAGACCCACACAGCTGCTCTCTGTATACTCAACTGCCCTATTGTGTAAGATCGACTCTCACCATCGGGACTCCGTACTATCTTTATATAATATGTTGGCTCTAAATGTCTTATCTCCATCAAAATTACAGCTATATAATGTATAAATAGCAACGTATCAGCAAAACTAGACACATATGAAACTAGTGAATTGTAATCTATTGCATCTTCTCCAACAGCTAGCGCTTTCGAAGCTTCAGTAATCTGCACTATGTAAAACAACCAGTATGAGAATATACATACTGCGAGTATGACCAAAGTCATTGCTCGGAAAACAAATATCCTTGGCAGTATAGCGTTTCGTGGTCTTAAAAACACAGCCCACACCCCTATGGCTAATAAGACTAACTTAAATGCTAAAGAGAGCAGTACGCCTTTACATTCTGCAGTGCAAGAGAGCAGTTGCATCCGCTGGCTCGGCTGGATAGCTATATTATCTGTTAGACCAGGGAAGAATCCTATTTTAGGTAACACTACCATTGCTAATGGGCTGACAAATGAAATAAATGACAAGCCAAGTGCAATAGTGGTCCCAAAGTATCTGGAACAGACAAAACCTATGCCACTGTCAGACTCCATGGGCCAATTACTAACATCCTCCATTGACTGGGATCCTTCAGAAGTGTTCCCTGTCACTGCAGTGGTATTTTCACCCCAGTTTTCATCTTGAGGCAATATTTGTACTTCTATCACCTCCTGACCATCTCTCCCCATCTCCGGGTTGATGTTAACACTGGTTTGAAATGGTGCCATAGTATTATCACTATCTTTCCTTTGCGACTTTGAACTTCTGAAAAGTTAAGTGGGATTTTATTCATTAATAACATTATGGACGCATCGGTCTATTTTTTAATCACGGTTCCTTGTGAATTGTTCAAATAGTTACTTACCTGGTGCTGCGATGCGTGTGAGATCTGTGTCTTGAACTCCGCCGCGATCGGCTACTTAGCTCAGATCTCACGGATTCTGTCTCCATCGTTATCCAAACTTAGAAATTCCTCCGGTCTCACCCATGAGTAAATTCCCAGTAAACACTGCAACAACACGCGTTCCTTGCAATGAAACCACTAATTTAGGGCAATTAAAATACTCTAGTTTCACGGAACCATGAACTTTTTTACAAAAATAAGACCACACGATAATATTCCGCAGCTCTTTTGAACGCTTATTTAAGAAACAGCAATATTTCATTTTACAGTGTAAATTAAACACAAATTACCTATGCATTTTTGTTAAAAATCGAATTATTTCTAATAAGAGCGTCGTTTACGGGTGTCGATCGGAATAATTCATGTTGTATTATGATTACAAATTGATGATGTCGTACATAGTGCCATTATAAAGCGGTAAAACTCTTCTAACAAATGCATAAACTATTACTTTCTCATTCTACGTGTAACAGTTCAAGTATATTTAATTTGGTCACTTAGTACCGTGAATGAATAACGTTCGGAAACGACCAACAAACATGATGTTAAAATGCCGGCACTCATAAACTCATTGCTATTCTTATTTGCTATTTGTAAACTTGACAACAGTCTCTCTCTTTCATTCTCTATAGAACATGACAAGAACACACTATTGTCAAAATCACAAACAGCAAACACAAACAATAATGTGAAGTACTAGCAAAGAGCCAGAGCTCTATTGAATTGAAACAAATGAACTTTAAATTAAATCAATTTATTTAAGGTGAAGTAATGTTCATATTTTTTAAAAACCATAAAGAGAACTGTGTTGCTTAAATAATTTTTTATAATATTTATCGTACTAATTTGGTTTTATAAACAGTGGTTTTTTTAACCTATACCAACATTGATTGGCGGAAATTTTAAAAATATGGAACAAGAGATTACGCAAAATGATAATGATAAGATAACACACCCATTTTGTTGTAGCCTGCGACCTGTGAATCTATTTCGGATATGGTTTTATTGTTTACCGTGTAATAACCATGGAAAATCGTGGGCATGTCGAAGAAATTCCACCGGAGAGGCAAGTAAGGAGGGTGGAGGACTTACGTTTGGACAGTGTAGTGGCATCGCAACCAGAAGTAGGACCTACACCTCCCGACGGTGGCTACGGATGGCTAATTGTAGTGTCTGCCGCAGTGTATCATGTTACAGTTCCCAGTCTCTTGTCACTCTACGGTTTTGTTATTCTGAAGACGATAAAAGAGGAAGACCACGAAGAAGGTGAAAAGTTGAAGATATGGGACGCAGATATCGCTCTAGTGCCGTTCATTATGGTGGTGCTGAGATTACTTCTGGAGTCTTGGTGCAGGGCTGTGGTGAAAGTGTTCAACATGCCGCGATTCATGGCCCTCTCCGGCCTCTGTTTGACAGTGGCTGGTGTGTTGATGTCCAGCTACGCTACCGACATCGACTACAACGACCATATAGTGAGCATTTTCGCGGGAATATTTGCAGGTATGGCTTTTTTTTCTAAATGGCTTCGCACGGCTTGTGCATTTAGCCAATGTCAAGTGTTAAAATGTTTACAAATACTATAGCACTCGTGGTCAAAGTTATTTGCAGGTAAGTTTTATGTGTCACGTGATTTTGTTTCTTAATTGCTTTGTTCAAAGTATCCAAGCCATTAGGTATTGTATCTAATGACTTATAGGTATGTGAAATGTGTCATCCGTTACCGTAGTTTGTTATCGGGGACGATTTATTAGCTTCAGACAACGGAATTAATATAAATAAAACTTAATTTTTATTTTTTAAACATGTAACTCCTCGATGTTTTAATCTAAAGAAAATATAGCTAGAAAAAATCCACGCGGACCAGGCAGCAGACGGGACTCGAACCCTTCGCTATCCGGGCGAATGCACGGGCCGCGGTAGCATAATGGTCAGTGCATTCGCCCGGACAGCGAAGCGTGCGGGTTCAAGTCCCGTCTGGGGGGCATTCGCCTAACGGAAATGCTTTGGAAAACGCTAACGCTTACGATTTCATTTTGTTATTTCTAGCCGCCTGAGGTTTTCAAATGCCACGCGCTCTTTTTTTTCTTCTGCATTGGTAATAAAAATATTTAAAAAAAACCGTTAGGCGAATAGCCACCTACTGACTGGTACGCGTGGATTTTTTTCTAGTTATAAATAAAACAGTCTGTAGTAGATAGATGCCCCCACACTTTTACACTTTGAAGTTCTTTTTTAGCCACAAAAAGTAGCCCTTTAACCTTGTCTAGAGTCTTCTCTATTACCTCCATACCCAAATTAATCAAAATCAATTTGATTATTGAAAAGTGAAAGTGAAGCAAACAGAATGACAGTTTCTTCCGCATTTCCGCTTCCGTTCGATACGTAATTAAGTAATTAATCATGTACGTAGTTAATTTATTAAGCTTATCTCAGCACCATTTAGATTTCCAGTCGGTCCATCGCGTCACCGTGAAGTTTTAATTTTTCTTGGGTCCACGAGGTAGGGGATTGCGTTCAGACCGGCGGCTTAGTTGGATCCCATAATATATAATCACATTTGTAATTTATAAGATAAAGACAGGAACCGTTCATTCTACATTATTGGTCATATTTTAAAGTTTGGTAAAAGTTAAGCCTGTCACTTACTTGCGATATCAATGGAATAAATAATCAACCCCCTGGAATGAAATCCAACAGTGATCAGTAGGTTTAACGCTTAATAATATTTTACCACTTAAGAAAATATTTTTCTTATTCACAGGCATCGGTTGTGCGCTCACCGGTCAACAGACAGAAGTGATCATAACCCATTACTTTAGGGAAAAGCTAACAATGGCACAACGATTAGTGCGAATGGCTCCGTCTGTCGGAAACACCCTGATGCCTGTGCTAATCGGCTACATGTGCACCAAGTATGATGCCAGCGCCGTCGTCATGATCTACGCGGCCATCATCATGCAGAACTGCGTTTTCCTCGCGGCATACACCAGACCCGTCTACATTGAGAAAGTTATAAGAACTACCTACAACATGCTGCGGGACGCGACGGAAGACGATGACGAGGTCATATTCTCGAATCAGAACAGACCAGCTGACCAACCACAGAGCTCGACGAAGGCAGACGAACCAATCGGAACTCACGATGAGGATGTCAACGACGTCGTAGTTTTCAAATCTAAAAAAGATGCCAAGGAAATAATGGATCCTGCCATAGAGTATAGGGAGAAACGATCCGCCACCGCTGCGAACAACGAGAACAGATTCTCGTCAGATTTCAGCTCGATGTTTGCTGAGACTTCTAATCGGTTCTCATCCAACTTCGGCTCGCAGGATGTTTTCAACTACAACAGGGTCAATGGCTATCAGGAATTGGAGAACATCGACGCGCATAACCCTCAACCTTTGTACAGGGAAACGACCGTCGATGCGCCTAATAACATCGCAGTATTCCCGGAAGCATCACCGGGCACAATCAGGAGAACAGCATCCATCAAGAAGAACTTGATAACTATCACAAACATGCTTCTCGACATTAACTTCTATATGTACGCGCTCTTACATGTGTGCACAACATTCTCTATCACTGTTCTTGGCGTGTTCTTCCCCGCTTTGGTGTGGGAAGTGAGCCAGTCTGTGATGAAGCAATCCCTAAACATTTGGTCTGTAAGTATCTATCACTTATATATTCATAAATCATCATCAGCCTATTAATGTCCCTACTGCTGGGGCCCAGGCCTTCCCTTTGTATGGAATATGGAGTTTGGGCCATGTCCCACCACAAGGGCCCAGTGCGGATTAGCGGGTGCTAACGACTGCAAATGCAGCCTCCACCAACGGCTTAACGTGCCTCCTGAAGCACTGAAGAGCTCGAGATAGAAAATTTTTGGTCACCCATCCAATGACCGACCACTGCGAAAGTTGCTTAACTTCAACGATCGCAGCCGAACGCGTTGACTATTTTCGCCATCGAGCTCCGCTATTTTTATTTATAAATACCTATACGTTACTACATTTAACATCTATCAGATAATATCACTTATCAGGATTCTGAGAAGAGTTATGAACAAAACTGAATCATCGTCACAATTGTGCAGTAACTTAATAAATGGTTGTGAAAGTTGCGTAATAAATATCTACTACAGTACTTACTGCTACTATACTATAGTAGGTGCCTGTGACTTTGTCTGCGTTAGAAAACAATCTTGCACCCTCCTTTTCACACGCGTTTAAAAGTTGATTTATAGTGTAGAACTGTCCTATTTCCTTCCCCGGTACTTTAATTCTCTCTATACTACAATAGATCTTATCTAAATCAGTTCAGGGATCATGAATGCATGAAGAGGTAACAGACAGACACACGTTACCATTTATAAAATTGGTATAAATATTTTTGTTTTATGCTGCACATGGTTAAATGTCTCTGTTCGTACTTCCCAAAACTAGATTGAGAGCGATCTCTCCTTTTCATATAATAAAATGGTAGGAAAGTCAAAACTGTACATTGAATATTTTTTTTAAAGAATACTTGGGGTGTGATCTACAATCGATATCGAATCCAGAAATATTGTTTTTAGAATTTTGTCTGTTTGTCTGTCTGTATGTCGGGGATAAAGTCAAAAAGTACTGCATGGATTTACTTCAAATTTGGCACGGATATTATTAAGAGGTCGGGTCAACATATACATATTATCACACTATCACCTACGGGGAACGAGCAGTGAACCATTATTTCTAACTAACTCCACGCGTACGAAGTCGCAGACTAAAACATAAAAATATAAAACAAATTTACTTTCAATAAGATCTATTTATCTCTCTATATTCTATCCGTTACCCAAGTATCCCATATCACAAGCCTTACAGTGCTTACTTTGGGGCTAGGCTAATTAGTGTGTGTTGGAAATATTTGTTTATGATTTTTTGACCTCGGTGGCCGAGTGGTTTGTACACCTTCAAGGTTCAAGTTTTCAACGCCGGGTTTCAAGGTGTCGCCAACTCCAGAGGTCCCAGGTTCGAATCCTGGTGGGGGCAGATGTTTGTGTGATAAATACAAGCTTTTGTACTCCAGTCATGGATGTTAAATATGTATTTCTATATAAATATACTTATTTATGTATAAGTAGAAGTAGAGGTAGAGGAGCTCAATGGCGCAACTGGTTAGCGCGTCCGGCTGCGATCGTTGAAGTTAAGCAACTTTCGCAGTGGTCGGTCATTGGATGGGTGACCAAAAATTTACTATCTCGAGCTCCTCCGTGCTTCGGAAGGCACGTTAAGCCTTTGGTCCCGGTTGCATCTGCAGTCGTTAGCACCCACCAATCCGCACTGGGCCCGCGTGGTGAGTCATGGCCCAATCTCCCTATTCCATCCATAGGGAAGGCCTGTGCCCCAGCAGTGGGGACATTAATAGGCTGATGATGATGATGTATAAGTATGTGTCTTCTATCCGTTACCCTAGTATCCCATAACATAAGCGTACAGTGCTTCCTTTGGGCCAATTGTGGGTTCACACCACACAATTGGAAATATTACTTTTAAATGTAAAGAAAATTTTGTTGGAAAATATTCCACACGGGTTGCGGTGCGGTTAGAGTCCCGTCTGCTGCCTGACCCGCATGGATTTTTTTCTCAAAATTTTCTTTAGATTTAAATATCGAGCAGTTAAATACTTAAAATAATAACTATAATTGCTATTTCTTCTTTCAAATGTTTAACCTACAGTGCTAAGAGTGGCGCTGCCTTGAAGCCTAAGGTTACAGAAAATTCGACACAGCCATCAGGACCGCGGTAGCATAATGGTCAGTGCATTAGCCCGGATAGCGAACTGTGCGGGTTCGAGTCCCGTCTGCTACCTGGTCTTAGTGGATTTTTTTCTAACATAATTTTCTTTAGATTTAAACATCCAACTAGCAGTTAAATGCTTAAGAAATAAAAATGTAATAAATATTTATTTTTTATTTTGTACCTATAGATATCGAGTCTTGTGGCGGTTGCGCACGCGTCTGCGCTCTGCTTCATAATGCTGTGCATTGTGATGCCAAAATCTATCAACGAGAAGTCGAGGCTTTGCGCCGCCTTCTGTATAGTAGGCGCCCTCGGGTTCTATGGTAAGAGCTTCATAATCCTTAATCTAATAATGCCCCTATTGTTGGGGCAAAGACCTTCCTAGGGATGAAACGATACGAGTAAATACAAGTAACTACACGATACTCTTCTTTCGATGCCAAGTACTTTTGGCATCGATACTTTACAACTGAGTATCAAGTAGTATCGTGAAGTAAGTACTTGTATCGGTACTTGATCGGTCACTCACTGAGAAGTATCAAAAAAACTTTATAGGCAGATTATTTACTTAACGGTAAGGTGTCTAGTTAGAATTTTTGTTTCGCGAGAGCATTTATTCTACTGCTCAGTTGGTAGCCTTGCGTATGATTTATATAAATTCCAATTTATTCTGTCAGTCATTCGTTCATCGTGTGGCGTGAGCCGTTATTTTGTTTTCATTAAATTAAAACTGTTACTGAATTTGGAATTGTAATATCGTTCGTCAACATTAATCGATACAATTAAGTATCGATACTTTTCATTCGATACAATTAAGTATCGATACTTTTCATTCGATCCAATTAAGTATCGATACTTTTCATTCGATACCGAGTAGGCATCGATACTTTATGACAGATACAGTATCGAGTAAAAGTATCGATACCTGGATGGTATCGTTTCATCCCTAGACCTTCCTTTTGGTCGGATTTCAAAGAACAGGCTATGATTCTCTAATAGGCCCAGTTAATGATTGCAAGTGACTCATCATCATCCCCCACTGCTGGAGCACAATCCTTCCCTACGGATGGAGTAGGCAGTTTGGGCCATGACTAGGGTTGCAACGATATATCGGAATATCGATACTATCGATAATATCGAGACCAAAATATCGATATTTATATCGATATTTAAAATTCACTGATATCGATAATATCGATATCGGAAATTTTAAAATATCGATATTTCCGATATCGATAATATCGATATCGGAAATTTTAAAATATCGATATTTCGTAGACTAAATTTAAACACAATAATATCAATTAATTTACCTGCTATGACTATCTAAATTGAATAATATCGAAATAACTATTGCTTTGAAATCGCAAGAGCTTATAGATGTATTAAAAAAATCTTGAACCCCAAGAAATATACTAAACTGGTGTGGACTCTGGCATGATTCTCTAAACCTAAAATTAAATTTGACAACAGTGTATCCTTGTCATTCTCTATACAGAATGAAAAGGAGAGACTGATGTTAAATTTAGTTTTAAGTTTAGATAATCATGCCAGAATCGACACCAATGTTTAAAGGTATAATCGTATACCTAATGGTAACTCATGCACTTTAATAAAATCCTTGCCACTCTTTCGAGATAATTGTCAACTACTGATTAATTTCAATTTAATATCATTGTAATATAACACAAAATAAAATTAAGAATCTTATACAAATCGTAATTTTTTTAAGCTCGTCAAGTCAAGAAAGTAAGATAGGTATAGTAATTTTGGAAGCTTTGGGCTTACCCTATTCTGAAGTCATGGGCACGCGTGTTAACGAAAAAGCTGGCTCAATGCATTTTGCGAGAAACTCGCCAACAAACATACAAATACTCACCCCGTATTCTAATGTCAATAAAAAAAAGAAAAAAATATCGATATATCGATAATATCGAGTTAAAATGGTCGATATATCGGATATCGATATTTTCCTGACTTCGATATAAATATCGATATAAAATCGATATTTCAAAAGACTTTGCATCCCTAGCCATGACCCACCACGCGGGCCCAGTGCGGATTAATGAGTGCTAACGATTGCAGATACAGCCGGGACCAACGGCTTAACGTACCTTCCGAAGCACGCAAGTGACTCATGTTACTGCTAATAATATACTTACCGCTGTCTGTGAAAGATTACCATAAATGAGCATTGAAGACAACTTAACCTTATTCATGCTTTATCACACAAATAAAATGGTTATAAATAAGGTTGGCAAACACTTAAACAGGAGGCCTATTTATAACTGCTTTTGACAGATGGAAGTGATAATCACCGAGCTATTTAGTGATACACTACTGCTTTATTAAAACGCCACTAAGATACTTGTTCTGAAAAGCATGTTCATCGATGGATATGCAATTTTCTCTTTAGTTACACACTGTAAGTACCTAAATGTCAAAAAAGTTAGCGAAAACGCCGACTGAAGTATTATTGGCGGAGTGTCTGAGGCCCGTATTATAGAAAGATTCTCAGTGATTGATCTAGTCTTGATCATAGTCAGAAAGGGATGTCGCTATACAGGTTGTTACAAAAATACAAATAAAGCTTGAAGGGCGTTGAAATACATCATTTAAGGAGTCTTCTCAATTTTCTTAAAATATTTGCATCAAGTTTTAACTTTTTATTAAAACAGTTATTTTTAATGATTGATAAAAATATCGATCATTTTAAGTCACGTCACTAGTTCGAGGATCATTAAAAATAACTGTTTTTATAAAAAGTTAAAACTTGATGCGAATATTTTAAGAAAATTAGAGAAGACTCCTTATATGATGTACTTCGACGCCCTTCAAGCTTTATTTGTATTTTTGTAACACCCTGTATATAGCACATAGCGACATCTCTTTCTAACTGTTCTCAAGTATAGATCAACACTTAGTTGTCATTCTGTAATACGAGCCTAAACTCTCAAAGTATCGATGTGATAATACTAATTTGTATTTAACGTTCTCAATCCAACTTCAATTCATTTAGTTTAGGGAGCGGCAAATTTCTCGAGCTAAGCCACAGACAAATAAACTTACGCAGGAGACGTTATTGCGTCTGCGCTGTAAACTTCTCAAGAAGTTTACCGCCGCCTAGACTTTATTACACAATGAAAACTTAATGTTGTCTTTGCTTGAGTACAGTTAGAAAGGGATATCGCTATGTGCTATATATAGCGACATCCCTTTCTAACTATGCTCAAGTCTAGATCAATGACAGAATCTTTATATAATACGGGCCTAAATGTTGTCTTTACTTGAGTACAGTTAGAAAGGGATATAGAGCATATAGCGACATCCCTTTCTAACTGTACTCAAGTAAAGATCAACACCTAGTTGTCATTCTGTAATACGAGCTTTAGTTGTCAAGATTAGCCATTGAACTTGTCTTAGGCGCGTATTATAAAAAGATTCTCAGTAATTAATCTAGTCTTGAGCATAGTTAGAAAGGGATGTCACTACATATAGCACATAGCGACATCCCTTTCCAACTGTACTCAAGTAAAGATTAACACTTTGTTGTCATTCTGTAATACAGGCCTTAGTTTACAGAAGCAATCAAACACCATCTTACTGTCTACAGGTATCACAATATCAGGCAACAAGAGCTTCCTAGTTCTATGGTGCATGTGCGCGAGTTTCTCTACAGCAGCATCTGGTATCCTTCAACAGCCTCTATACAATAGTACGCTGAACGAGTTCGATACCACGGCTACGATAACCGCTACCAACTTACTAGCAGCCGGATTCATACTCGCCTGGTCTTTGGCCAGGAACTACGAGTACAAGACGAGTTTCTTAACCGCCAGTATACTGCAGATTGCGACCGCTTTGATCTTCTTCGCCATGTCCTTTAGGAGACGTAGATAGTTATATTTTTTAAGCATACAACCAATCTTTGGTATTACTTTGTATTGTAAGTTTTTAAGCATGACGTGGCCACGGTAATAATATCATACAGTATTCTATCTTCATACAAACGGTCGAAAAGCGAGTCATACCTACGCCACTCGAGTTCGATGGGCTCTCGGCGTGCACCCAGTCGCGAATGCGCCGCCGCGCCGCAACGACGACCGAACGGTCTGAATTGTTTTTTATGCAGTTAGCCGTGCTTAAACATGCGTTTTGTATTGTAAATATTTGATTTAATTAAGTACATACCTACATAATTTAGTATGGAAAAGAACAAACGACGATCAATATCGTACAACAGCACAATTGCTGTTTTTGGTTGCTTGAACACTTCAATAACACACCCAGAGATATCATTTTTTAAATTACCTGAAATATTGGAAAGGTGTCTTTCCTTTATAGAATATTTTATATACCTATCTACTAGTACGTTATTTGTTTGTAATATTTAGGTATTTCGGTTTTTCCATCGGGCAAAATATCTGGAATAATATATAAATAAGTGGTTAGGATGAAAAAAGAGACAAACGAGTAATCTACCTACACTCGCGTTAAAAACAAAACTACATAAAATACTGTAGGCTGGCGGCCCTACTGCGTGCCAACACAGCGCTCGGTGTAGGCATTTATTTTCAAAGACAGGGCGGAGTCACAATACTGTATAGATAATATTACCGTGACGTGGCGATCGAATTCGATTTTCTGCGCCACTTTAATAAGTCTTCGTGTTCAGGGTAATAAGTGCGCATTTTACAGGAAATCGCAGTATATCGGAGGCAGACCCCTCTTTCCTAGTAGGCACTTTGGGCAAGTGCCCAGGGGGCCGTTCAAGTATTACGTAAGCAGATTTATTACAATTATTTACCCCCTCCTCCCCCTTGTCAGCAAAAGTAAGCATAGCTCTTACTCCCTCCCTCACGTGCTTACTTTAACCATTAAGGCTGCACACGCGACGGAAGCTTAAAAAATGGAGTAACTTCTCCCGTTTTCCCAACATTTCCCTTCACTACTCTGCTGCTATGGATTGTAGCATGATGAAAAGTATACTATAACCTGCCCAGGAGTATGAAGAATAATTATACCAAGTTTGATTAAAATCCGTCGAGTAGTTTTTGTTTCTATAAGGAACATACACACAGACAGACAGACAAAAATTTTACTGATTGCATTTTTGGCATCAGTATCGATCACTAATTAATCACCCCCTGATAGTTATTTTGAAAATATATTTCATGTACAGAATTGACCTCTCTACAGATTTATTATAAGTATAGATGAGCTTTCATGAGCTTCATGAGCAGCAGTACTTAAATAGGCTTAGAATAGAGGACTTTAACGCACATAATATTCATTGAAACAAACTTTATTGACACAGTATTCAACATTGAGTAAGGTCCTATTACGAACAAAACCAACTTCATTCGAATTTTTGGTTTAAGTATACAATCTTCAGTCCATGACACCCTAATCCATGATGCTGACGTAATCACTATCTCGACCCCCCACCCCCCCATGTCATCAAAAATAAGCAACGCAAAGACCCAAAGCTTACGTAATACTTGAACGGCCCCCAGGGCCCCGCGATTGATAGGGGCCCCCCTCAGATCAAATACAAAGTCCCCAGTTCCTGTTAAATCACCAAACGGAGGTCATAGGGGCCCCCTAAACCTAATATGCCCAGGGCCCCCGATAGGTCAAAGACGGCACTGATCGTAGGCAACCCAGATTTCCTAAATCACAACAGATTCTAGGAAAACAGATTCCAGTAGTTTGCATATGCATTAGCTATACATGATGATATAAAAATATAAAAGAATCTTATTTATTGTGCATTGAGAATTTTCGAGACTCGTTCAAATACAGTCCTTAAAAACATAGTTACACTCACATAGGTTCGAGTTATCCTCAAAAATAGCTGCAATAGTTTTGCTTAATTTGGTCTATGCCGCACTTCTACATCTTATGTTTAAAAAGTATGTGATATATCAAACAGTGTATAATTAATATATTTTCTAATTGTAATGCTTCGATTTTTTAGTAATTAGGTAGTGAGTAAACCACCAATTATTTTAAAGTGTGAGAAATAGTACCTTATTCGTTAGAAAATAAGGTACAATTTAAAATGATGCTTGTTTTTTATTATAAGTGTGATGATCATCCAAAATTACCATGAAATAATACAATAGGTAGCTTTTCTAATAATTATATATTATAGAGATCAGTTTTCCTAATACAATAACAAGTAAATAAATGTTTTGCAAAAAAAATATGACGTAATATTAGGACAAACTATGAACAAACATGTATATGATTCTGTATGTTTGTATATAGTTTTAAAGCTAAGCATTTATAGGAATATTCTGTATACTTCTTAAAAATAAAACATACAATAAAAATAGGCTAAGCAAATAATATAAGAATCCAATTAATTAATATATTTTATACAATTAGACATTTAAGTCTATCACAGGAGTTATAAACATTGTTAGAAATTAGTTATAGCCAATTCTGTATAATGTTCAATAAATTATTTTTTAAAATGAATGTTTTATATTTTCAGACTCTCATCATGTTCATCATTTTACCATATTTTTTGTAATAAATAAATATTTGGAATGATACAAAATGTCTACCTATCTAAATTTAAACCTAACCGAGAATAAAATAAAAGAGTTAAGAAAAAACTAGTAATTTTCCTATAGTATTTTAGACATTAAAATAAATCAGCAATATTTTGGTGCAGACAGCCATACACTAAGTTACCACTAACAGTAAATAGATTGTGAATGGTATGACAAGCCATAGAAAGCTCAGTCATTTGGATAAATCTGATAGTTTTGGGTAACTTGTAACCATAGAGGTATAAGAATAGAGTAGGGGAGATATGTACTCTACTACAAGTGGAAGTGTCCGTCTAGTAGAAAGTAGTAGAAAGAGAAAGAAGATGAGACTGCTAGCTATCTCTTTCTCTTGTGACGCTGCGCAGATTGGTCGGTACTCATCCGTAGGTTTTTCATCCAATGCGCATTCGCGATTAGAGATAAAAAGGCTAGTTGTCTCTCATCTTCTTTCTCTTTCTGCCAGACGGACACTTTTAGAGCCGCCTTCCCCACTCTATTCTTATACCTCTATGCTTATAACTGTCTCTGTCTGTACCAAACACACAGAGAAATAGAGTATACAAACATGGTTTAAAAATAAACGGTTTTCCGGTTTATTAGAAGTGTGAAAAATCAGAGTTTAGCAGTAATTTTACCCAGTAGATTTACCAAGGCCCTATTTTACACCGGTTTTACATTCCCTAATATTATTTTTAAAATTAGCTTTATAGAACATCACCCAATTATAATAAGGTCAAAGATTAGTTCGTTTATGAAAAGACGTCTAGGGGGAAAGAAGAAAATGCGTTTGTTATAAACAAAAAGAAGAAAATGTCCTTTTATAAGTATCAGGGCTGCTCTGTAGCGGTGTAAGTAAATGAATACTAATTCATTAAAATTGACAAGTTCATATAAAAATTAATTATAATAAAAGCATCTTGCCCTTGACCTGTTCTTGGTATAATATTTACAACCACAGAGGTCTCCCTCTCTTTCTTTTTCTTTGTGGAATGTGGATAGGATATAAACTTACGCGCCAAACTTCTAGTCCACTCTGAAGTTGCTTCCAGCAGATGTACAGCCGTATACACAACCTTCGTCCCTCTATATACCTGCCTTTTGTTACTGCGGCGTGAATAGGGTATTTGACAAGTTTTATAAAACTATCTTACGTTATTGACTAATGTTATGGAGTCCGTAAAAAGTGGATATTCATCATTCTGTTGTGTATTTCAGTAAAAATAACCAAATCAAAAACTCCATTTTCAAGTTGCCGCGAAAACGTTTCTATGGACAATATGGCGTCTTACTAGTGTGTGACGTCACACGACAGTTATTAAAACGTCAAACGATACAATGTAATGTCACTTTAACCGGAAATTTACTTGCGTGTGACGTCATTTTAGGCTCCGCCAATCCCAAGTGTTTTGGTTCACGTGACAATAGATAGGAAAACTATTATCTTTTTCGTGGGTTTTTAGTAAAATTATGAATATTTCTTTTGTGAAAATAGTAAAAACCAATGCCAATATTCATTCTAAACACAGATGCTAACAATTGGCACTTTTATTTTTAATACTGCCAAACACCCTATTGTGCAGTGTTCAGAGCGATCTAAAATATTGGCGCGATCTGTAAGTAACATATCAACACAATAGGCTAGAAGCCTATATTTTAAAAAGTGGTTAATAATATATATTGATGTGTATTTTACACCAAAAAAAAATTAAATTAAAAATACATTAGAAAATTGTATTTTGTATTTTAAGAAACTTATTTCAATTTCCCTCTAAAACGCTCAAGACTGTCATGGCGTCTTGAATGACGTCACGCCGTGCAAAGCAAACAATACGCTGTACGTCGACTATTATAATTAAGTTAAAAATGAACCCAACGTATTACAAGTACCTACAGTGTATGTCCCAGTGTAAAAGCACAAGCATAAAACGCCAGACAAATTATTAATATACGTTTCAAAGAATCCACAAATGCGGAAAAAATGGCTAGAACCTTGCAAATGGTATTCATTATTTATTAACAAATACAAGAATATTTTTGTAAAGATCACTTTGATGTAATTTTGCATAACATAATGTATGTAATCTAAATGTTACACAAGCCGGATAAATTATATTGCATAATATTTATAAAACGTTACAATAAGTTGAGGTTAGGTAAGTTGGTTTAATTTTTATTGTATTATTTAGAGTGAAGTATATTTATTCATAACTTGTGTAGAGCTGTAGTGTAGACTAAAATGACTCTTCATATAATTATAAAAAAAACTGAAAATGGTATATTTGCCTTTTCTATAGTTCTATTGATATCACGTCGCTCAATTTTTTTGCATTCCCGGAACCGCTCCACTAACATTTGAAATTTATGGTATGGTATTAGAGTTCAAATTGACTTTTAAGTATTATTAAGAATCTCTTCTATGAGAGTATAGAAAAGTTTTGTTTTTGGACATTTTCAGGCACTTTTTTTTAATTTTTCTCTGCGTAAGAACCATCCTCGTACTTCAAGGAATATTCTAAAAAAAGAATTATCGAAATCGGTTTAGCTGTTCTCGAGATTTGCGCTTAGCAACACATTCAGCGATTCATTTTTATATTATAGATAAATAAATAAAATAATAAAAAAACACACTTCTTATTCTTGGTCTAGTTGCCAAGTCTCGGTTTAATGACAAAACAAGTCAAGTTGTTTTGTCATTAAACCGAGTAGTTATGCGATTTATTTTTTATTTTGGGTAAATTATTATTATTATTTGCATTGGTAAAACCCGATTCCATGGCTATAGTAGGTTTCCTTTCAATAATCATCTGAAAATAAACTGATTAATTGTATCAAAGTAACAAAGACATGAATGACAAATCAATGAAATCTATGAAAACGGCAACTACAAGTATTGTTTTGCATGTCGTGACGTCAGTCTTTCTGATTGGTGTTTACCGTCACGTGACCTAATGCCTATTTTTTTTATTTTATTTTCTAAAAATAATAATAATCTTTAACTATTATGTTAAATAGCTTTATTTTTTGTTATAGATACCTATGTATATAATCATTCATATTTATAAACTGTAAACCATCCGATTTATTGCTAGTGGACACAAGCCTATTGTCCTAGGAAAACTATTTTTTTTCTTCCCTTTCATTTCATTTATTTCATTTCTCAACACAATTTAACTTTCTTTTCTAACACATTATTATAATGTGTTTATTAAATTAGGAAATTCATATGCCACATCATATTATTTACAAATAGCCTGAATACAAGAAACTCGTGGAAATCATGCAAAATAAAATTATCGCATTTTTCAAAAAATACATTTAAATTCATTCTTTCTTTCACAGGTATTCTTCCACTTTTCTATTACTAACACTAAAATACTTTGTAACACAAAAAATAATTTGGCTTTTGATTTGACAATTTTATGCCTTATACTCTTACGGAAAAGAGGTGAAATAAAGTGAGTACCTAATATAATTGAACATTCACGAAAACAATCACTTTGCCCCCGATTCCACACGATAAACAAGCTGAATAAAGGTATTGCCAAGATCCTCCACTCCTATTCCCTCGGATAGAAAAGTGTGAAAGGCATGAGATTTAATATTTTTTTATAACTAAATATGTGCTGAAATACCTAATGTGCTAAATAGCTTGTAATATGTGCACCAAATATCTTGATAGATCATGGATATAGTCAATAATTCGGTATAAGGACCCGTTAATCCGAATTACTATATATATTAGAATTTGAATTTACACATTTACATACATTTTACCCTTTTTCCTACTCCATATACAAATAAACTATTTCAAATATCTGATTTGTGTAAATAAGAGACTTGGTAAGCGATTAACACATTTAAGCATATTGGCTTCTCTTCGACATATAGTGCTCTATGTCAAAGGCCATAGAACACTCGACATCATCTCTTGTACTATCATCATCAGCCCATTACTGTCCCCACTGCTGTGGCACAGGCCCTCCCTATGGATGGAATAGCTAGATTGGGCCGTGACCCACCAGGCGGGCTCAGTGGTGATTGGTGGATGCAAATGTAGCCGGGGCCAACGCTTTATCGTGCCTTCCGAAGCATGGACGAGCTCGAAATAGTGAATTTTCGGTCACCCATCCAATGATCAGTCAGTCAGTAACCACTTGCGCCATCGAGCTCCTTGTCTATTACTAAAACAAAAAACTATAAATCGCCTCCCAGATAACGGTTAACTTCTCACTGAATACAATTTTACAGATTTGGTCAACTTTAATGTTAAATTAAGGAATTAAGCGCGTGCGATTAATCAAGTTTCGGCAGGCTTCAAGAAATAAAAACAAATAGAAATTGCATAGTAACATTTGTTTTAGCTCAGCGAAGTAAGAAATATCTTTGTTTAAAGTATTGAAACAGAGAATATTTTAAAAAACGATATTTGTACGTAGTATTGGAGTTTCATATAAGATTGCTCATGCTCAGCTATCCCTAGCCTGACAATTGGATATAGACACAAAAGCATCTCATACCTTTTCAGCCGAGCAAATCCATCATTTCGCTACTCGTCAACTTCTTAATATTATTATTAGTAGATGTTTGGTTATTATTTTGCGTCTGACTTGGCAAAAGAGATTCGAAGGCTGTCCAGTCCTGTTTCATTTTCGTTTGATTGTTCTGGTTGTTCGCCCACTTATTGTTGAAGTTACCCGAGGCTGTGTTCGACCATCCCGTATTGGCTGGTAAAGCTAATTGGGTATCGAATCCTGTGGGCATGTTTGGGTTATAATTGTACGGTCTACTGGGTCCTATGTTATTATAATTGGGTTGGTTTGGTAAGCTTGACATATTGTAGTTCGGTGTTGGTACTATGGTTTGGTTTGGCTTCGGAGTGGTTAGCTGGTTGAGATTGGACTGTAAGAGCGAACTCGTAAGATCCACAGGTTTGGCCAATTGCTTCAGCGGTGGCGATGGTATAGCAGCTGGCATCGGCTGATTCGTGAATCTCTTCACTGTCTCCTGTTGTTTGGCTATCCTGTTAATTAAATTAACATAATATTTAGTTCTAAATCTATTCATTTGTCATTGTGGGTTACGTACAATGCGAAGTAATGGCGCTGCCTTGCAGCTTAAGAAAGGCTAGAGAAAAATCGACACGGCCGTCAGGGCCGCGGTAGCATAATCGTCAGTGCATTCGCCCGGATAGCGAAGGGTGCGGGTTCGAGTCCCGTCTGCTGCCTGGTCCGCGTGGAATTTTTTCCAGTAAGTTTCTTTAGATTTATAAATATATATTTACATATTTAAAATTATCTTTATATATTTTTAATAAATACATACTTAAAAGACCAGTATCGCTAGAAATTGCATCGCGGGCGATACTGGTCTGGTCATTAAATATGTGTCGATGAAGTTTTAAATGACACCGATTTGTTTCAGTGAGAACTGCCATTACGCGTATTGGCCTTAAATGTTCAAAAATGCAATAACCAATACCTAAGCACCCTAACAGCTATAAAGTAATAAAGAAAAAATCATTTAACTTTAAAAACTGCATTTAGTAGGTCATCTACATCAAATTACTAATAAGACGAGTAATGCTTAAGACGCCTTCGCATATACATGGGGAATCTTCAACGATATTTAATACTAAAGAAATTATAACTAGAAAAAAAAACTAGAAAAAATTCCACGCGGACCAGGCAGCAGACAGGACTCGAACCCGCACCCTTCACAATCCGGGCAAATGCACTGATCTCTAGCCATTCTTAAGTTGCTGCAATCTCTTCGCATTATAGGTAACCCACAATTGGTCAGTACATTCGCCTGGATTGCGAAGAGTGTGGATTCGAGTCCCGTCTGCTGCCTGGTCCGCGTGGATTTTTTTCTAGTTATATTTTTTTTAGATTTAGACATCAAGCAGTTACATGCTTTAAAAAAATAAAAATTATAACTTAATTGATATTTAATACCCCTAGATACCACCACGTGCGCTTAAAATGTGTCGCAATCAAGAAGTGCTTGAACACGACTCAAGCACCTTTTGATTCACAATTTAAAAGTCAACATGGCTCAGAGCTCCGTGAAAAAAGTACTTATTAGTACGCAGAGTGTCGTTTTTTCGAAAGGTACTAATTCAATGGTTGTTAATTTAATGCATTTGAAGAAAAATTTGTTCTAATACTTACTATAAACTGATTTAATAGAAAATATTTGTAATATTCAAATGCATAGTTGTTCAAATGTTCTTTTCCTCGCGCTTCATACTTGTTATATTGCTAACAGCGCATTCAAAATTACGCGTAGAGTCAAATAAATAAAGTCTATATTCTTCCACCAACAGCAACAAATCGTAAAAATTTACGAGTTTGCATTTCGAACTATCGTTACTGTTTAAAGCATGCGTATTAATTAAGACCTTATATACTTTTCATAAATAGTGACTTTGAATGTTTAAATACATAATGCCGTATATCGTTTTTGACTACGCGATCATCCCACGGAGCTCCGTGGATTGTCCAATTTATTTATTTATTTATTTATTTATTCAATAAACATGCTGATTTACAGAACTAGTTCCAACGCATCAGCAGGTCACATTAATTCAATTTATAAATAAAATACAAATTATACATTACAATAAATACAATAACATTAATTGAAAATAACACATCAGCAGGTCACATTAATTAAAATTATAAATAAAATATAAATTATACATTACAATAAATTAAAAAATTAAATTAATAAAAACAATAAAATTAATTGAAACTAACGCATCAGCAGGTCACATTCATTAATATTATAAATCAAAAACAAATTATACATAAGAATAAAATCAAAAATAAATACAATAAAATTAATTGAATTTAGTCCGATGTCAATATTTACTAACTAGGCATTTACAACCTTCTTTAATAATATGTTCGAAATGGTCGGCATATACATCTATTTGGTCGCACTGAGCGAGCACGCTGTCTATCAAGCGAAGTACGCGCGGGGTGGGTGCATGCGCAGCGTGTAAGGTCCGTGTGTCGGGCACGTGGAAGAGGCGCGGTCGGCGGCGCGGGGCGACCATCGCCTGACCATCCCAAGGGATACGTGAAGGTATTAATAGGTTCACTCTGGACACTAAGCTACTATCTACCCTATGATGCAATACGGAGACGAAGTACAAAATTGAGGGATATAGATATGGGTAATACCCATAACGGCGTTTGTAAAGCCAACGTGCAAACTTACGCTGTACGCGCTCCACCATAAGTGCATATTTAGTCTCACGAGGGTCCCATATGATAGCAGCGTATTCCAGTTTACTACGGACATATGCGCCATATAAGACCTCAGCCACGGCCGTATTATTAAATTCGGAGGCAGTCCGGATTATAAAACCCAACATCTTACTTGCTTGTTTGCAGGTTTCTATTACGTGTTGTAAGGTAAAAAAATTAAAAACTGTGTAAACTATTTATTTAGTTGGTTATTTCAAAAAAAGAACGAAAAATTCTGGAGGCGATGGCCGGGTGATGGTAGCCGATTTAGCTTCTCAGCTTCCATTTAAAGTGAGAGTTGTAACGGGCGCCGGGAAGCTGGTAGCGTCTCCAGGTGTCCGGAATAACTTACGGGAACATCAGCTTTTAATCTCAAAGGCAGTTTTGACTAGGGTTGAATGATAAAGGTGTTTTCCTCTTCAATTATTTATTGTGAAAGTGTACATACCAGATTGGATTCCAGGCGTCAAAGTACATTAAGTATTGGTTTTACTTAGACTATTATGGCTGGTCCATGGTCAAGGATATCAAAATGATATTTATGATATCATTAAAATTAAAGATGAAGCTAAAGAGTATAAAGACAAGATAAAGAGTATAAAGATCACATAAAGAGCTGAAACAAAAGAGACATTTGTGAGACCAGGCAACATGGCTAGATATACCTATGTATGACGATTTTAATCTTAATTCTTACCTGCAATCGCAGCTCTTTTAAAGTTTTACTAATGGGCCATTGGCACCAATATTAGTTTGCAAAAATGCGATGAGCGCATTTTTGGAAAAAGAAACCGAACTATAAATTATTATTATATTTCACATTTTTAAAAGTGACTGTTCGTGCCTGCAAAGAACCGAAAAGTAATGTTGCCAGGTCGCACTTCCAAAAACGCCGCGAGTCTCAGTGTTGGCGCATTAAAATTTAAATTTGGGCATGGACTAACCATAAATTACAAAAGTTTTCTTAAATTTAGAATAACAATTATTACGTATTTATTTTAATGTTTTATGAAATTAAGACAATTTTTAAAGATGTGTTTCGTTTATTAAAAAAAAATAGGGAAAATCCTTAAGTGACGGATGTCAAACCATATATTATTTATCTATGTATGTGACGGCGTAAATACGACGTTACAATTCCCCCCCACTAGATTTTATAAAAATAACGAATGTTATTTTTATAACATCCAACTACACCTAACAGTAAAGAAAGAGGAAAGAAAAAAAATGATTACTTTATAATAATCTAATAAAATTTCCATTGACTGGCATGCAACTGGTTAAATATGGTCGGCACACTCGCCCCATATAAAACAGCAAGTCAATTTAAATATGAAAAGAAAAGTTATATTAAAATTAATTTATTGCAGAAAATATTCCAATATACGGATTTCTTGTTATGCATTGAAACGCTTCTGGTTTAGAGTAGTCAGCACCATCGCCTTACACTAAACATTCGAATACAAACAATATTCCTAATAAAATAAACTTTATGAAAGTTTCAAATTCTTAACACATAAATGTGTGGAAATAGGAAAGAGAAAAAAAAAACGTTCTACCGATTCAACCGATTTAGAGTAGTCGGCACCCTCGCCTTACACTAAATTATCGAGCAGAAACAAAAATTACCAAACACAATAATAATCGAGTTGGAAAAATAAGTATTGTGTTACCGAATACTACTGATTCAATGCAGTCGGCACCTTCGCCCTACATAGAATGATCAAGTAACTACAAAATTAAATGCAATCTAATACAAAATGAATGCATTTCAAAATACAAAAGGAATGCACTACAAAAGAATGAATGCATCACAAAATTAATGCACTATCGAATACCACTGATTCAATGTAGTCGGCTCCTTCGCCCTACATAGAATAATCGCATAGCTGCATAAAGAAAACAGAACGAGTTATCAATGAAACACCGTCTGGGAAAATGAAAAAAAAAACAGAACGAGTTATTAATAAAACATCGTCTGGGAAAATAGTATGTCAGTCATAAGACTAACACTACAAATTTTTTCCAGCAAAGCTGTAGGAAAAACACAGAACATTCTAATGATGTCTAGCAAACCTGTAAAATAAATTGTACCAAATCAAGTATGAACTTGATGGAAAAGGGAAAAAGGGGACACCTAAAGGTGTAAAAGTACCTACAGATCGAGGAAAGTCGACTGGGAAAAAGTAAAACGGGAAAGTCCGTCTAAAAGTCGCGTCCGTGTAATAGTTCTTAAGACTACAGACTAAGCACAAACACCTAAACAAACTTTACAAAATAGTAAATTAAATAGTAATCCCTAAACTTCAACTATTTATACAAACGAAATAAACATTATTACGTTATTAGTAGACTATTGTGGAAGAACAACAGAAACTAATAAGGAATAAACGTGGAAACAAGGAACTCTAATCCATTAAACTAGTTAATGAATAAAGACCAGAAATAAAGTATTAAGGATCTCCAAAAGTTTATAAGTCTTTTAATAATAAAACGTATAAGACTTGGAAATTTAAAACAAAAGGTTATCTATATAAAATCCTCAAAAATATGAGATCTTATAAAAATAAGAAGACCCAAAACAAACTAAGATAAGATCCTATGATGCTAGAAGCAAAATCAAATTCTTCAAAAAGAGTTAAAACATCTAATTGCCAGATAGAATATTATTAAATTAATTTAATTTCCAAAAACATGCCTAATAAAATGATACCAATTCAATTTTAAAACTGAGATTCTATTTCTTCGCTTTAGGAATCCTCATACA